CAGCGCTGCTAGCCCGTGCTGCCGGCTCCCGTCTCTGGTGGACCGACTATTTCGGGAGCCCCTCGATGGCACCGATCCTCGCCGGTACCGCGAGACCCATGGGGCTGCCGGGGAGAGGAACGGAGAGAGAGAGAGAGAGAGAGAGAGAGAGAGAGAGAGAGAGAGAGAGAGAGAGAGAGAGAGAGAGAGAGAGAGAGAGAGAGAGAGAGAGAGAGAGAGAGAGAGAGAGAGAGAGAGAGAGAGAGAGAGAGAGAGAGAGAGAGAGAGAGAGAGAGAGAGAGAGAGAGAGAGAGAGAGAGAGAGAGAGAGAGAGAGGTTGGGAGAGGCAGATCGGCGGTGGGAGGGTGGCGTATTGAATTTCGGAATGAGCGAGGTGGAATTTAAATTCTCGAGTCCGTGGCCAGGGCGGTGTGACGCGGCTTTTCATCAGGGTGGGTGGGAGGCGGGACGGAACAGGATGGTGCCATGCTCGGAATGGAATGGCATGACACGGAGGACGGCCTGGATGGACGTGACGTGACCGCGCGACACGGTGCGTGACGGGGCGTAAGGCGCCGGGCCTGAGTGGCGTCACGGTACCCCCGTGACGCTGCGGGGCGGGGGAGGGGACAGACGGCGGCTGACCGGCCCGGCCCGTCGCTCGGTGTGTGTGCAGTGTGCCGGGCGTCTCGGGTTACTGTGTGACCCGGCCAAGGCCGCTGCCCGGCTGTCGGGATGCCGCCGCCGCCGCCGCCGCCGCTGGTGGCACTCACGGCTGTATTGATCGGCCCGGACTGACTCTGCCTCCGGTTGGGAGAGCGGCGGGGAGGGCCGGCCGGCCGAGCGACCCACTGCCGGGTGTCGTCAGACCCGGTCCGGGCACATGGCGCGTGGTGCATGACATTTAGCATTATGCCATGCAACTTGGACAGGAAGCCAAAAATGCATATCGGTTCAGGTGCCCACATCAGTGTGATTTCCCCAGAGTCGCCAACTCTCGGCTGACTTCCTCGTCTTGTCTCCCGGATCCCCGCCGTCCACTGTGAGCCTTGCGGTACAGCCTATCTTCAGGCGCCGACACTGGTGCCATCTATGAAAGGAAACTGGAACTCGTCTGATACTCTTGCGCGACGCACGCCGAGCGTTAGACCCTTGCTCCGCTTCATTTGTAAAATGGTGCTAGTATCACAAAATTAATGTTTGTGAAGCCCATCATAGCTACTTCAACATTCTATATTCCTCTTCAATAAACACTGCCGCTCCATTTCACAGACCAATAATGACGATCATTATATCCGTAACCACCGTAACTCATCAGTTTTAGTGTCCCTGTATGGGGCCACAAGTGTCTCGCCGGTGGTGTTCGGGTCGTTAGAGCGGCGTCCGTCGGGCGGCGTCACTCACGGCCCGTTACTCTCAATGGATGGCCTGCGCGCCGGGGATGGGCGGCGGCCCGGGCGCCATAAGCCACCTTCATTACGGGGCCGGAGCCGGCCAGACTGGCCGGCACTGCCTCAGTGATGAGGACGCTGATGCTCTGTAGATTGACTGTTATTCTGCCAGTAATGCTGGGTTATAGTTAATAACAGCTAGCAGTTAGCACACATGGCTCCAATATTTACCGGATTTGGATCCTATTGAATGATATTTCATAGTGGGTACTGGGTAGGCTCGCGGAAATGGCATGGCGAAGAAAAATGATATTTTCACTGAAATTGTTCATGCGGCCTCTCTCTCTCTCTCTCTCTCTCTCTCTCTCTCTCTCTCTCTCTCTCTCTCTCTCTCTCTCTCTCTCTCTCTCTCTCTCTCTCTCTCTCTCTCTCTCTCTCTCTCTCTCTTTCCATTTCTCTCCTTGCTAACCCCAAATCGAGGCACACCGAATTCATTCCTCTCCATTAACGATTGTAGCGCAGTTCCATGCTCGGCCGAGGGATTAGAAATCGGCCGACGGTCGGCCGGAGTAGATACGCTCCGCATTCGCATGGGGGAACGGCGGGGGAGATAGCACGCCGATCAGCGCATGCATCGCACTGGACGATTTCCCTTTAATCGGGTTAGCGGAGGACAGGTGAAGGCGAGGTGTGCTGCGGACGAAGCCACGGTCTCAGTGCAGTCGGCGTAGAGCTCTTGTCAGAGATGGAGGTCTTCAGGACAGTCGCCGGGCCCAGGCCGATGGGGGCCGCTGCGGTGATGCCTGTGGTGCTGCTCGGGGCTCTGCTGCTACCAGCACCGTCCAACGTCGGCGCCGCAGAGCCCGCCGCCAACGTCACCGTCCACGCCGCCTCGCTGCGGCCGCTGCACCGCCAGCGGCGCTTCGTCTGCATGAACTACCCGGCCTGCTGCTACCCCTCCGACACTTGCGGCTTCTTCTGTCCGGTCTGCCCCAGCGGGCGGGCGGGCCGCGCGGCGCCGTCACCGCCGCCGGCCGCGCCCGTGCCGCCACTGCAGCGTCTGGTCCGGTCCGGCGAGCTGAGCCGACAGGAGGCCGCCGCCCTGGAGGCGCTGGCCGCCGGCCGGTCGCCACCCCCTCAGCGCACCCTGCGGCTGGGCGCCCTGAGGACCCTGGTCGCTGGCGGCCAGCTGACCCAGCGCGAGGCGGCCAGTCTGGAGCTGGCGGCCGAGCAGCAGCGGAACCGGGCCAGGAGCGCGGCGCCACCGGCCGCCGGCGCCCCGTCGGCCCCGGGCGGGCCGCTGGTGGCGCTCCTGGCTCGTCTGGAGCCGCTGCAGCAGCAGGTCAGCAGCCTCACGGCGGCCACCAGCGAGCTCCGGGCCGAGCTGTCCGCTGTACGCAGCCGCCTGCCGCCGGCCGGGACACCGCACAACACTGCGCCGGCGGCGACAGCCGGAGTAAGGCCTACTGGGACAGGAGCGTCCCCCGGCCAGACATCCGTTCGGCAAGGCAACGCGCCGGCGGCGGCAGATGCACCAAGACCCACTGGGACAGGGGCGTCCCCAGGTCAGACACCCGCTCGGCCCTCCGGCACTGGGAGGAAGGACGTCAGCCGGCCCTCCGGGGCTGCTGGGAAGACGCCCACCCGGCCGGCCAACGCCGGTGCTGTGAAGACGGGAAGCGCTGTGAGGAGCGACGCCATCCGGGCCTCCAGCGCTGCTGTGAGGACGGAAGTCCGCCGGCCGGCCAGTTCTGGGAAGAATGACGCCAGCCGGCACTCCAGCGCTGTAAGGAATGACATCAGCCGGCCGGTCAGCACTATTGTGAAGACGTCTTCCCGGCCGGCCAGCGCTGCTGTGAGAACGGACCTCAGGCGGCCTTCCAACGCCGTGAGGACGGATGTCAGACGACCCTCCAGTGCTGGAAGGACGGTTGTCAGTGGACCGGGCAGCTCCTCTGGGAGGACAGCTCGACCGGTCAGCACTGCCGGGACGGGCGTCAGCCGACCGGTCAGCGCACCTCGGCTGCCCGGGCGGGCCGCTCCGGCGGCCGGACAGGCCGTCAGCTCGGGTGGAGCCCCTCCGGTCGGACAGGCCGTCAGCCCGGGTGGGGCCTCTCCTGTTACCGCTCAGCCTAGCTCCGCCCCCACCACGGACGCGTCTTCCACAACTCGGCCCAACGTCCCACCTCAGGGACTCGTCACCCAGCCTTCTCCACCTCGCCTTTTCGAGGGCTTCATTCCGCTGACAGCGATTGTCCCGCAGGTCGACCAGCCGGCGCGTCCGCAGCGGACCGCTTCCACCGCACAGCGGGCCGCCGAGAAACGCTCAGCAGACACGCGGCGGACGCACTGACTAAACTTTCGGACCATTGCTGGATGCTGCATTGTTACTGCGTGTTAGTTACGATAGTTACGGTTACGGCATTACGGTATTATCTATTGTTGCGAGCGTTTCCGCTGGGACTGATTGTGCTCTTATCACCTTACCACGTTTTAGTGTACCCTTGCCGCATCAGTCATGTGCCTTAGTTTGCAGAGTATTAGCACCGGAGGTTTTGGTGGACTTCTCATTACTATTATTGGCGCATCTTTGTTACCACAACCTTGTTCGCACTGTCTTCTCAGGAAATGTAATACAAACATGATCATTTGCCATCGCATTGGCGGTCATATTCCATGTATTCGACAGCCAGACCAGACGAACACCCCAGTCCTCACCAGCCAACCACCGCAGTTCTCACTAACCGGGAGCCGAGCCGACCCTCCGCGCGGCGCCCCACACCGGATGCCCGTATTGGCGGTAACGACGGCCGATTACCCGGCCGGCACGCGCCGCTCCCCTCCCCTCCCCTCCCCTCCCCTCAGTCCGTGTACTTCCCCTGGCATTGGGTCAATAGTGTAATCACACCGGTCTGACGGCCGGCTCCGCCCCCGCGATCACACGGGGTGGACTCACGCCGTGATACTGAGCAGTCGAACGGCGTGCCCAGCTGCTCACAGCTCATTGATTGGAACCCGAACCGTGATTCGTGATAAGACTAGACTCGTGTGTCGCACTTGGTGACATGGCAGCTGAACCCCTGGCTCTCGATGTCGCGTTTTGCAGCGGGTTCAGGCTCGGAACGCAGGCAGCATTTGTAGGTCAGCGCTGACTCACTCTGACCGAGCACGGCTCCCATTGCGCCGCGGGGAGACGCGGCGACCAGCCTTTTTCTGCTACAGCGCTGCTTTGTCCGGCTGGGGCGGCACTGCGGTTAATTGCAGAGTCGTGACGGCCCCATGTCGCTTCCGTTCCGTCACGGTGTCAGAGCTCTGCGGGCTGCCCAATCCCTGTGAGGAGCGCGCGGTGGTGGAGTAGACCAACTGTCGGCCGGAGCGGCGTGCGAACTGCGACGTCGCTGTCGCCCCAGGGATCTGTCACACACTGCCGATTTAATTAGGATTTCCGAGAGTGGCGGCTGCCTCTGCCGCCGGCGGCATGATGCGGGATTGGCAGAGCTTTGCTGGCAGTTCAGATTAAATCCTTTTGACGTCGGGACTCAGCCGCGCTGGTGGATGGATCCTGCCGGGTCTTTGGGGACGTCTCGGGTTCATAAAACTGGGCCGCGCAGCGTGCCCGCGACCTGCATCAGTTATTCATCGGGACGCGGCGGTGCCGGGAGCGGTGGAGGTGGAACGGGGAGGCGGCTCTCACTGGGGACCAGCGCAGCGGACTACTACTACGACCATAGCCTGCTACCGGCACTGGGCCGGCCGTGGCGGCCCCGCGCCCCCGGCGGGGGCTCTCAAACCGCCATAGTGTCCGGCCGGCCAGGTGTCGAGTCGGGACCGCTCCAGGACGGTAAACAGTCGATCAGCAGCGGGCGCTATCACGGCGACTGGGGGCCGTCACCGCCGCCCAGCCGGCGAGGGTTGAGGACCCCTGACGGCGCGGCTCACTGGAAGGCCGGCACGGGACGGCGAGTGGCGAGACGGCCAGACACAGTCCGGCCGCCGGCGGAGGTTCAGTTGGATTTCAAATCGGCGCGGCCAGGGCGCCCGATCCGTGTTCATTGTGTTGCTGCTGCCGTGGGCGGCGTTTGCTGACGCTGCGCTCTGACGGAGGTCGTCGGTGGTTACCCGTGAAGCGGCCTACTGTCCAAACATGTCTGGAGTACAGGTAAACACTAACTTCCCACTGCACCGGCCCGGGGTACCGCGATAGGTGCATCGCTGATGTGTGTTTGTCCCGCAGACAGCAGTCCGCCGGAGTGAAGCTTACAGGGGCGTGGTGGGAGCCGTGCTCGTCCGTCGACATTGTCCCCCGATCACAATGGTCTCGCGTGCCTGGCGGGCCCGCCCAATCCGTTTGTCTCACTCGGTGCGAGGACACGCACGTCGAGCACAGACCAGACAGGCAGAGCTGTAGAGAGCCTGGACAGCTCGGATATGGGGATTATCCGATAGCCGCGTCGCTGAGATAGGTACCCGCCCAGCTAGGCTGTGAAATCCGTTCACTGCACGGGGTGAGGCCGAGAATGGGCTCTCCAAACACCTGTGGGCGGTGAAAGGTGGGCGGGGCGCCGGCATCGGCATTCCATCATACCTCCCACTGATCAAAGGCTTCGCGCGATCGCAGGTGAACCTGAAAGAAGTGCGTTCCATAAACATGTACGGAGAAGGGTATTTTAAGATCAAAGTCCGATGTGAAATTGTGAAATAATGATGGCTGAAATGTTCAGATGGACGATCGTCTCTCAAACTATCGCAGACTGATGACGAAATAGAACGATGCTGAGTGTGCAAAAGTGATTTGAATATCAACAAATGTGACCGACTTCTGTCCAGTGGACGGCAGCGTTACATCGACTGTGACCGGCCCCGGGGCTCGCTGTATATTTATCAATCGCGGTAATGTTTCGTCATTGCATTTAGCTGATGAGATGGAATGTGGCCAGCGCATCACTTTGACAGCTGCTAATGCCTATCGAAGTCGTCTTCACGATACACATTCCGCTTCAAAATGCTTATTCGGGAAGCTCTTGCGTTGAAATCAATGTTGATTTGACGTAGTGAATCCTCCCATTTTCTTGCAATGAAGAACTCTTCATAATGATATCTCCCCAGCATCTGACATTGAAAGGTCGTCAGTGTGCGCGCTGCCAGCCGTGTGACAGGTTACACCGCATACCTGCCCGTCTCAGCTCCGCAGCCACCGCCGGTTATTCCGCACTCCACACGCGGTGTGATGGACCGGTGCAGGCGGGATGTGGAGGGCACCGTCCGCACTGCCTGTTTGTCTCCGCCGTAACCCGTCCGCTCCGCCCCCGCCCCCGCCCGGCAGCTCTCACGCAGGCTCACAGCCGAGGTCACACGCACGCACGGTGACCCCGAGGTCAGGCCGAGGTCGCTGCCGGCTCTCATTAGGGCCGGCGCGAGGCGCACAGCCCCAGTGCAGGTCGCGGTGGTGACCGGAGACGGTTGGTCGGTCGGTCGGTCGTTCGGGCGGTCCGTGACGGGGGTGTGGTGAGCTCGGCGGACTGCGGAGAGGCGTGGCCACGGCACAGGCATGCTTGCTGCGTTCAGGAGGCGCTACCACCCCCGGCTCTGCCGGCCGGGGCCCGTGGAGCTCACCAAGGTACCGTGTCATTCAGTCACAGCCGTCACTAGCACGATGACCGGAAACTACTACCCCTTGTTGAAACCTGTTACAACATCTATTCGTGACTTTTCCACAAGAAAGCATTCCTATGTAAGCTCATGTTTTGCTCGTTTCGATAGATTTCAGAGCAAAGTAGGTCGTTACTAAAAAGCCGACCCCTGCTCTCGAATTATCACCTAAGCTCGTGATAGCGCCCTTGTTTTGTCGTTGCTTTGACTGAGTTATAGTCACGCTCGAAACAAGTTTTAACCGCTGACTGACAGATAAGACAGGAGCAGTCGGCACGCGATACACTAAACAACGCTATTGTTTGGTGGCCCTGAGGGTTCAGTAAGTCAGTAGGACCTAATGAATGCTGCGGTGTGTTTTTATTCGTGACGTTTGACCACGGCATTGCAGAGACACGGGTTGACTACCCGTGACTACCTGCACCCACCCCTTTCAGTATAATTAGTCATACACAGAACTGTAGCCGCACGTGCCAGTATCATCTGACCTCCGCGCGTCTGTCCGCCTTGCGACGTATTACCCTGCTGCGAGCTGCGACTACCGTCAGCGGGCCCGTGCTGACGCGTGTGCGTCCGCTGGCGAGTGTGCGCGTGCGGGCGCACATGTCGCCCCACTGACCATCTGTCAGGAACACATGTGTGTGTGACCGAAGAGCAGGGGTCGGCAAGGCCACCAGCGGCACACTGCGCCGCCTGGGCCAGACGCGCCGCCTATAGCTATCTAGGTCAGCAATAACACCATTGGCCCAGTCTGAAATTCAGACATTTAAACTACGTGTAGATTTGGGATTGATCAGACTCGGGCTATATCGGTCCATTACAATCCTGACTTTGCCGAGTCGCATCGAATCACAAAATGAACTAACCCTGCTGTCACGGAAGCAGGTGGTGACTTCTTTTCATGATCTCATAACTTGTCATCGAATCGTGATTCAGCCGTCCATATGGGCCTCGTTCGTGATCTGAATCCTCTGTATAGACCGTAAGTCCGTGATCCAGTCGCCTTCCCTATACGGCCGCACTCGTGATTCAGTCGGTCCGTGATTTAGCCGGCCGCACGTGTCGTACGTCCATGATTCAGCCGTCCGTCACTCGTGGCACAGCGGCCCCTGTCAGGCGTCCACTGCCGGCGTGTGCGGTGTGCCAGCCGCCGCGCCGCTCTGGTCCGGTCGGCTGCGCAGGTCCCATGGTCCGCTGGTGGGGCCCAGACCGGTCACTGCCCCCCCCCCCCCCGTCTGCACACGGTTGACGGAGGGAAGGGAATGTCCTCTGCGCAGAGAGCTGGGTCGGCCACCGCCGCCGACTGCGCGGTACGAAATCATCCGCCATCGATCGGTGATGGTCTATACCGCTTTAAAATCCATTTCTATCCCGACCGAATCCAATCTGGACTTAACGTATCCAATAACCGATGTGAGTGCTCTTACATGAACAATGAACAGCATGACTTGGCCCTGCGAACTTTACAGCCGCCTGACCTTTGGCGGTGGCTGACCGGGTCTGCCACCTCACGGCACAGGGTTCGGCTGACCTTTCAACACTAGCCGGGTCCAGGTGATGTCACCTGTCGTGAGTCACGGCCGCCGGCCCGGCCGCACGGGTGGTATGACGGCACGTCGGGGCGATTTTGGACGTCCGTTGGTGTCGGTGATATTGAGAAAGACGTTTCGGCGGCATGTCTCGGCGCCGCATTCATTAGATACCAGGACAGGACCAGCCTTGTGCCGTTCCAGCGTCCAAGACCAGACGTTTATCTTTGTCGTGGGTACTGCTGTATGCTCCAGATCACTTGCTATCCTGTGCCGACTGACCTATCGGGTTACCACGTCTGGTTTTAGTCATGGATAAGGACCAGCTGCTTAGGCGGGCATTTGATGCATGGATGTGACAAAATGCTTACCGGCCTACGCAGCATTCCTTGGAACACGGAGCGCACTATGAGCTCATCACAGGGCACTGCAAGTGGCACACAGCTTCAGTTGGAAATGTGAATGGGCTCACTCTTAGAGTAATGCTTTTGCTTTGAACTGATTCGTCGGTAATATTTTGATCAGTGGTTGCCGTCTTCTAAGGCGATTCCGTTAAAATGGCGCTCGGTCATCCGAGAAGGCACCGCCACAGGCCGTCATTTCAAAGCCACCTCACCCTCTCAATCATCTGCGCTACATTGCAGCGAATTCTGTAATCATGAGGTAGCGTGCTCTGTTTTTCAACATGTGAAGTCTTGTCGATCGGATGCCGCTGCCGTGAAATACTGATGTCTGATATTACTGGAATTTAAATGGTGGCGAATGTAATGTTACTGTACCTCGATAATACAATGCTTTTGGAAAGGCATGATGCGTGCATAATTTTTGTATACCTTATCGCCGTGTACTTTCGCATAATCAGACGTAAAGCCGGTTCCGTTTTGTTGCTCTCCGCGGGGGTGCCCTCACTGATACCTAGTAGGTGTGTGGTGCTATCCTCCCTCTCTGACCGTTTGGCCTCCCCTCTCTGTGTTCCAGTTCCAGCAGACACTGCGTCTGACGCGGCAGACGTCCACCGGACCAGAGAGTCCCGTCGGACGCGCCGCCCGAGACGTGGTCGACATGGCCGACCCGGCCACCGGTACGTCACCCACCTACAGCTCACTCTCCATTTGCTGTTATATTTGGATACCTGTATGTATCGTAGAAGTGCGGTGCGCTGTGTCCTGTCAGTGCTGTGCATGTAAAAACTGACAGGCTCTGCCGGATACCTTCGTCGGCTCCGTATAACACTGATTGCAAAATGGCATCACCATGAGGCGGTCCAAATCAAATCGTCATCGTATCCGGCTCAGCTCATAGTTTGGTTCGTTAACGAAGCATTGAAGGGCTATCAGCGATAAATCACCAGTACTTGAACATTTACTATGCACATTTACGATTGATTACACCTTCCTCATGTACGACTACGCATAGCGTTGCAGATACAGGAAAATGCAACAGTGTCCCGTTACTTGTTTCATGGTGTATCCACACCGCTCTCCAATGCAGCCACGACGACAGCAGTTTTCCCTTGTCGTCTTTGTCGTCTATTGGTCTGTCGTTCCTGACGTCTGCCTCCCGTCCTACCCCCCCCCCCCCGTCTCAGAGCGGATCGTGATGACGCCGCTGCCCAAGCGGGAGAACACGTCGTCGATCCTGATTGAGCGCGTGGCGGCGCCGGCGGCCGACGCGGACGGCGCGGCGTCATCAGACGTGCACGTGGCGGGCGGAGATCACCGCGGCATCGTGGTCAATAAGAGCCGGAAAACAGGTGAGGGTGGGGCGTCGAATCGTGATGACCTGGTAGGTGGAGAGAAAGGAGCGTCGTTTATTGACATTTTAATGGACTCTGGCTTTGTTTATTCAACGTTTTCAGGGGGCGTTCTTTGGGTGTAGCTTGTTATCTTTCATGGGATCTTTGTTTTGTTTACAACTACTTGTCAAAAAAGTTATACGGACAAGATGGAAACAACCCCGTCATCGCTTCATTATCTCAAATATATGGGTAGTCGTTGGTATGACATCCGGCTCCGCCCAGTGATTTTATCCTGGGTGTATCACTTTGTAACCCGTAAACCGCTAACAAACCTCATCGGGAGTTTCCAACACGACTAAACGAGTCACAAATTGGTCCCGCGCGGCCCTGTCAGCAGTGGCTGATGAACTGATGGTGGGCTAACCAGGGTGTGTCTGTCGCGTGCCGGCGGTACGGTTAGGCGGCTGTGGGCGCGTCAAGGCGACTTTTTCTGCCGGTCGCTGGGCGCCGGGCCGGCTGGAAGCGGCGCTACTGAGAGGATGATTGGCCCCGCTCGCCCGCTCACCCCCGGCAGTGTGAGGGTGGAGTGGGCGACAATCTGTGGCGCGTTGTTAACTTTAATAGCGGCTGTTATAGTCGAGTTCCTAGGCGTCGGGGATGTGCGGCTATTCTGTCCTGGTTGAACCCTGATGTTTTTCGTCCTCCCTGGCTTCTGGATTCGATATTTCCCGACCTCTGTGCCGCCTATCTGCTGGCTCACGGGTTGTGTGTGCGTGTGGATGAATCACGGTATCCCATCACGACACGCCGTCCTTGTGGGCCGGATGGATTGGTGGGTGGGGCGGGTGACGTCATTCGGAAACAATCAGCTGTGTGGGCGGTGGGATATTGAATCCGAACTGACGAATGACACATTGTTGCAAAACAATGTACCGAGATAGGCATAGGAATGCACGATAAGAGAATCAGTTCAATTTACGATATGTCAAGTGAATTTTTCACACCAGCAGTTTCGAAATGATTTACTTTTGCAGTCGCCATTGTCACAGCATGGATTGCTGAGTTACAATGAAACGTTCCCTTATGTGTTTTATGTCTGACCAAGTACCCCTCTGACCATACACCCCGCTCCCGCAGACATGGCCAGTTTACCACCGGCACAACTCACGCTCGAGTTCAAGGTGTTTCTGGTGAGCGCCGACACCAGCCTGCACACTCAGGAATCGCGCACTCTCCGGTTCTGGTTCAAGGAGTACGTGCCCGAGCAGGAGCAGGCGCGCTACGCCCAGGAGTTCTTCAAGGAGCTCGTCAGTCCGCTCGACTTCCCCAGGGGTGAGTGGGAGCCGGGCGGGACTCGTGACTCGGAGGGAGGGTGCCGGCCAGCGCCCAGTGCCAGGGAGACCGGCGTGAGCTCATTGCTTACACGCTGACGTGGTGTATTTATGTGCCGTGACAAAATGTCCGAGGCGGACGCCGTGCCCGTGTCGCCGCCCTGGCGTTCCGTGTCCGTGTCTGGTCGGGACGTGTGTCTGAGGCTGTATTACCGGGCCTGTCAGAAACGGTGCCGGTCACAGGCGATAGAGAGCGAGTGGCGATCGCCGTCCTCAGGCTGATAGGTCTGACCTGGTCAGCCTCCATACCGTCCAGCCAGTCTGCTGTTAGCCAGGGTGCCTCTCGATCTGAAATGATGATGAGGTCGCGTCGCAGAACCGTAAACAGTGCAGACTGATGAGCATTTCGGCTATGCATAATGCCTTTCTCGATACCGAGGCATAACTTTTGGCTCATTTTTTGTGCCGACGCTGACGCATTACTTTTTGCATCAGCCTGAGCCTCAGCTGCCTGTGTTTTCATGGGTTTCTGAATCAATGTGTAGTGCTACATGTATTGTGCCATGTTATCCTTACAATCGCTGTGACTCATTCCTTCGTGCTGTGCGCCCCTTCCGTTCAGGTGCTTTGCACGCCCGCCCGTTTCATACTTCTCATTCCAAGCTGGGCCATTGTAACAGACCGCGTTTCTGGCGTTCTGTGTCCGGTGGTGAAAATCGCCTATCGACTCTGTCAGACGTGCCGAGTCGTGTCGTGACCGGCTGTGACAGGTAGTGGTGTGACAGGTACTGGCTATGACAGGCGGCGGACAGTGACGGCCGGCCGGCGTCTGCCGTGCCGGCGGCCGCCATCCGTCACCTCCCTCCACTCCCACCCGTTGACCGCTCTCTCCCTCTGCCCGGCAGATTACGTAGGCTTCATCACCAAAATAATGAAGCTGATGCAGACGAAATACGTAGACCTGCGGCGAGTCTCTCTGGAGCTGACCCTGCTGGGCGAGTCGGTGTCGGCGCCGGTCCGGCCCAGTGAGTACCGGCTCCGCAGTCCTCCTCGGGGGACCCCGGGCCTGTGTCTGTCTGTCTGTCTGTCTGTCTGTGCTTCGGCGGTGTGGGGAGCTCACTGTCCGCGACGTGTTTGGGAGGGGTCTGTCTTCTCTGGGCTTCGAGTCTGAGCTTCCGGAGCAATGGATAAAATATTTAATTGTCATGGGATTTATCAGCCATTATAATCAAAATACAGGAAAATTTTCGTCCCAAATAATAACTGCGATCGAATAATATTTCTTGTTTTTGAAGGCCGGAGTAGTGCCTTCTCTGTCTCGTGATATGAATGAGTGAACACTTCGCCACTCAGCGTGGTGTTGCATGACTCATTGATAAAAACTTCAGCTGTAGCCGGCGATTTGTTATCGGTCAGTGTTATATCATCGACTTGATCACGTCCGATACAGTGTCCGTGTCCACCGCTCATCGTTCCCAGTCGATGGGGTGACCGTTACCATCGTCCCTGTATCTGTGGGCGCCCCTCCGATACCGGCGCCCCTGTGTATCAGTAGGCGCCCCTCTGATACCGGCGCCCCTGTGACCCACTGGGCGCCCCTGCGTCCCGTCCGGCGCCGACCACTGACGCTGCTCTGCCCCCAGCCAGGCCGGGCTACATTCTGTGCTCGGTGGGAGTCTCACTGCGGCCCTGTAAGATATCGCTCGCTGGCCCGCCCGGTAGCGGGGGTGGCTGCCCGGTCTGTCCGTCCGCTCACTGACCCACTAACCTGGCGAGCGGCGGCCGGCCGGCCGTCTCTGACTCAGCCGCCGACCTTTGGCAGACGGGCAGATTGCCGAGTGGCGCCGCTAACCTCTCCGCAGTACACGGGGAGACTGCCCACTGCAGCAGCTAACCCTCCCCAGAGTGCCGAGTGCGACCGCTAACTTTTCCCCAGCGTGCGCTGCCACCTGACATTAGCTGATGGCTGGCGTAGCTAGAGCCTGATGGGTTTCGTCTGATCACTGACAGGTTTGCTAATGTTTGGCTCCTTTGGTTGCTGTGGAAAAAATTAGGTCAACATTGGTACCTGAGAGTACTAAGACATGACTCGCTAATATAAGCCCCGTGATGTTAATCTTTTCGGGACCTGTGCATTTGCATATTGGACCCTCCTCACGGCTTTAATTAATTTGCTAGCATACGTCTGGCCTTTGGGATAACGCTGCTAATTACTAACAAGCATGGAACTTGAGACGAAAGTAGCGTGTCGTGCCGGACAGCGGTGTATCATGTTTCCAGTTCATGTTCCAGTGGAGTTCAGTTCCTGAAAGCTTGTCGTTTGTCGTCTACTGTGTATTGTTTCTCCGCTTGGTGGTGTGTGTTACTTCACTCCGCTGTCCATTCGCCGTATGTGTGGTGTTTGTTTGTGTACGATCGGCGCTGAAGTCTGTGTCTGTGTCTTCTGTTCCCCGTGTCCCGTGTCTCCTCCCGTCTGCCGCTTGTTGAGTCCGCCGTCTGCCCGCGGCTCGCAGACGGCGTGTCGTGGTACCCGCGGTACCAGTACCAGTACCCGCGGTACCAGTACCAGTACGCGAGGGAGTACCAGACGCGCCTGCGGCCGCTGCGCTCCGCCGTCGGCCCGCGTCTGTCGACCGCCGACCGCGGCCGGTCCTCCCAGCTGCCCGGACTGGCGCCAGTCGCCAGCCCGGAGCCAGCGGGAGCCGGGCCGCAGACGACACACAGAGACACGGGGACCGGGCCGCCGGCCGTGCCTCCCAGAGACACCAGCTGGAGCTGGAGACAGCGGTACACCGTGGTACCCGGCGGACCAGGCGAGCGGCCGGCCGCAGCGAGCGCCGTGACAGTGCAGCCATCCCCCGAGCAGAGGCACACCAGGCGGTCAGCCGACACCGCGCGACTCCGGGCCGAGTTTTTCGCGTCTGCACCACCCCGGACGAGCTTTGAGGCTAAGACGCCGCTCTCGAGGAGTGTGGCTGCGATGAGCGGTCGCTCTGGGGAGCAGACGGTCGGGGTACCGGACGGGGAGAGCCCTGCGGCGCGGAGTGGGGGTCGGACGGTGAGCAGACCGCCGTCCCGGGCAGCTCTGATGGCCGGCAGGCCGGGGCTGCAGCTCCGACCGGCCTCCTACCCCGCGGGCCTGGGCGCCCGGCCCGCCCAGGAGGAGCTGCTGGAGCGGGCGGCGGCGGCCGCAGAGGCGGAGAGGAACAGGACCTCCGCGCCCAGACGGGACCGGAGCGTGTACCAGTCTGCCCCCAGCCGGCTGGCGGATGGGGCTGACACAGAGCAGAGCGCAGACAGGACGGACATGGTGCGATCGGGATCAGAGCCGAGGATAGACGTGTCGGAGGACAGACCTGAAATAGACCAGAGAAGAACGAAATCGGAGCAGACTATTACAGAGCTGGACAAACGAGCTTCGGAAGAGCCTCAACATATGTATGAAGAAGATAGAAGTGCACCAGAAATAAACAATAAGGCGAATGAGACGATCGAAACTGCTGATAGAAAACGAGCCTCGGAAACCGACCAGGGGACTTTCATACGAGGCTCAAAGGTCTTATCCAGCAGGAAACGTGCGGCTTCGGGGCCTGAGAGAAATAGTTCACCGAAAAGACAGGATGTGCTGCATGATCGGACAGCTCTGCCCAACGGTGTACACTCACGGAGCTCCCAGCGACTGATGGATGACAGCCTGGACAGAAATGTCACCAGTGGAGCCACTCTGGTGAGGTCCATCAACGCCAGACAGTCGTATCGCCTGGCACTGGGCAAGGAAGACGTCTTCTCAGCAAATAGTAAGAGTGAAGGGGCGAGGGTACCCGAACCAAGTCCGGGGAATCGCATTGGCAAAGAAAGCACGTCTTCATTCGTGGGAGATTTGAAGCCGACTAGTCAGGGAAGTGGCGCTAATGGTCAGAAGAACGCAAACGAAGGCATGGCCAATAATCAGATGAAGAACCTCAGGCAGAACCATGAGACGTCGGGCAGCGCCCCTCACCTGGTCTCCCCGCCCGCCGCCGGCGACTCCGGCAGTCTGGAGCGGCACAGGAAGCGACAGCGGAAGATCCAGTCGATGCTGAGGACGGCCGACCTGCCGCCGGAGGTGAAGCGCCAGTACCTCTCTCAGCAGTCCCTGGACGCCAGTGAGGCCCGCTGCTGCGGTCTCAACACTCCGGACCTGCGAGCCAAGAGGGAGCGAAAGCTGCAGTCCATGCTGAACGCAGCGAGCGTGCCGGCGGAGATAAAGCAGCAGTACCTGTCTCAGCACTCTCTGCCGTCGGCTGCTGATGAGCATACTCACCCATCGCCACAAATCAACAGTTTGGAACGTCACACTAAGCGGGAGCGGAAGATCCGTTCAATGATGAAATCTGCCGACCTACCGGAGGAGGTTAAACGTCAGTACCTGTCACACCCCTCGCTCGCTGGTGCTGCCGAGGGCGACGGGTCCTCCCCAGCAATCACGGGCAGTCCCGAGAGGCACGCCAAACGCCAGAGGAAGATCCTGTCCATGCTGAAACACTCCAACCTTTCGCCGGAAGTCAAACAGCAGTACCTTTCTCAGCAGTCCCTTCCGGCGGCTCCGGAAGCAGCCCACGGCTCTTCATCAAACATTGGCGACGCGGGGAGGAAGACCAAACGGGAGCAGAAGATTCGGTTTCTGCTGCGCTCCGCTGACCTCTCGCCGCGCACGCGGAGGCAGTTCGAGGCGGACCTGGCTCAGTCCCCTTCAGGCTCTCCCTGCAGGACCGACTCCCGCTCAGTCAGCTCCCCGGTATTATCGACAGAGCAGCCTTCAGTGGAGAACAGTCAGCCGGCCGACACGGGCAAAATGGTGCCAGCTGATGACTCGCAGCAGAAGGACCGTACTGACAGCAAGGAACAAAAAGAGAGAGTGGAGACCAAGGGGGAAGAAGTGACGACACTGCTCAAGTCCCCGGTGGAGGTACGGGAAGGTTCGAGGGACAGCGTGGAGCGGGCGGAGCGGCGGCGAAGACGGTCCTCGACTGAGGACCGGGCGGACAGTGCGGAGCGGAGGGAGCGGAGGCGGCGCCGCTCCCCGGCGGAACGGTCGGCGGACGAGGAGCGCGCGGAGCGGCGCCGGCGGAGGTCCAGGTCGATCGAGCTGAGAGAGATGATCGCGAGCGCTACAGTGACAGTGTCCAATGGGCAGGTGAATGGGCACCCGCCGGCTCACAACGGTAAAGGGAAACCAGAGAAAGATGCGAATTCGAAGCAGGGTTCCCACGAGGACAATCAGAAACAAAATGAAGCAGAACAAGAACACTCAAAAGTTGTTCAATATAAACCGAAGCAAGAGATTGACATGGAAATCCGGAAGAAACAAGCGCTTAATGATGGTAAAGAAAGTAAGACTTTTCAGAAGTCACAGCGGCAAGATATGCCAATCGCAGCAGCCGGAAAGCTCGTGGTCCCACGCAGCGCAAATGGGTCGACTGGGAGACATCAGGACAGGGTCTTAACCGACAGAGAGGTACGAGAAACGCCCCAGAAGCCACAGAGGAGAGATGTGTCGGAAGGAAATCTCAGGACAGAAACTGTGAAAAGTCGCCACAGGCGAGATGAAGCTATTCAGTTACGGGAGTCAGTTTTGCCACAGCAGTGGCAGGATGATGTATCTTCCAGACAGTGGAAAACGGACACATTCCACGAGCGACGGAGGCACGTCAGCGAACACCACAGAGAGCCGAGCTCACCCGTCTCCAGGCCTGGTGACAGAGACAGGCGGGAGGCCTGGTCCGGTGGCGAGGGGGCGCAGATAAGGAACGTCCCCGGGGTCCCGGGCAGACGGGACGCGGCCGGCGGCGGCGCGCTGGCCCGTCACCGCCAGTCGGCCACCTCCGAGTCGTCCCTGACGCGCAGCTCAGAGTCGGTGACCCGGCCGGAGGGACGCTCCCCGGAGCGCCGCTACCGGGACCGGCTGTCCGACCCCGGCGGCCAGTCGGCGGCCCGGCAGGAGCGGGGCTCCCCGGAGCGCCGCTACAGGGACCGTCTCTCGGAGCCCGGCGGCCAGTCGGCGGCCCGGCGGCGGCGCACGGCCTCCTCGGGAGCCGGGGACGACCTCGGGCGGCCTCCGACCGATTGGCCGCCGTCCCGTGACTGCCAGACACTGCCGCGCCCGGCCGGCCGCCGGCGGGCTCCGCGCACCACCGGCTGCCTGTCGGCTGGCCGGGGCAGCCCGGAGCCTCCGCAGCGAGCGCCGCCGGCGCTGCAGCGAGCCCGCTCCCTGCCGGCCGCCGGCACCGGCAGGCTGCACTTCCGGGAGGCGGCGCGCGCCCAGCTGTACCGCGAGCTGTACCGCAACTACCGGCGCCGCCAGCGGCTGACCCGGGCGGCGGGGGCGGGCGCGGCGGCGGCCGAGCCGACCGGGCCGCCGGCGCGCCGCACGCTGGCCGTGGAGACGGTGCTGACCGACTCGCTGGAGACGGTGGCGCGCCGGGAGCGGCTGCTGCAGCTGGAGGAGGACATCCTGGAGCAGCTGCTGTTCCTACTGCCGCACAGCCTCAGCGCCAGACTGTACAACGGTGGGTGACGGGCGGCGTGATACTGTACGGCCGGCGGCGAGCGGCGAGGGACCGGAGGGTGACGGGACTCTGCAAGACAGCCGCCTGATGAGGCAGTCATGAGTGATGTGCCCACTGCAAGAGGAGCGAGTCGAGAATGCGGTTTGGTGTCGGTACTTCAGAGCAGCTGGATCTACGAGCTGAGTTCAGCAGATGCAATGCAGTGTGCCATGCAATGCTGCCGTTTTGAGTTTCACAGAGGTGGTCGGCGTGTTATCGTTTTGTTTATTTGGCCGCGTGCGCCTGTTTAGTCTACTCGAGTGGTGGTCAACGGTGGTGATGGTGGAAGAAGGGGATTCGGGGAATGACTCCCACTGATGAAACCTCAATGCGACTCAGATGTATGACTCCTCTCGACTCCGGCTGCTGAAATGTCCTTCCTCCTCAATGTCGACTGAATGACAAACTGTGTGACACCGTCCCTTACAACGGCAACTGACCTACTGTGACGCGCTCGTATGGCACGTATGGGCCGCTCGGGAGGCGCCTTGTGCCCGGGACGGCGCTGTTTGGTGCACGGCCGGCGGAATGAGTGTGCCTGTCAGCTGACGGGGTGTGTGTCTGTGTATGGCGGTGGACGGGTGGCGGCTGGTTTGATCGCCCCACCGTGGTGTCTCTCCGCTCGCTCGGTCTGTGATATGACCAGACAGAGAGCGGCAGACGTCGTTTGTGATAACTTACATGACATAGCACTTTTGGTCATGATGCAACTGTGCATGACGTGTCCAGATATTTAATGTGTCTCACATATGCTTTTTTCTGCAATTTAGGAAGTTATCTTCTTGGACCTAAAAGCGTTTTCCAGTACATAAATAAGCCCATGCTGGTTGATCTCTTGGTGCAGCCTCTAAATATGCCGTCCCTTTGTCCGCTGCTCCTCGCTGAAATGTGCACGGCTGTGTTACAGTATCGCCGGAGGGGCACGCCAACGGCGAGGTGGAACTCACCGAGGCCAAAGTGCTGGAGATCATCGAACAGTCCTACCCCAACCCCGTCACCGTACAGCAGATGGCCAAGTAAGTACGAGAGACGCCAAGTAATGCCTCCCGACCGTGAGGTTAGGTTCAGCAGTCTATGTCCAACCTGAGCCGAACACTTATGGGGCGACGGGCTCCGATGAAGTAACTTGAACCCTTGAATGAATAATTCAGTACTGAAATATGAAGTTCTGAGTGTTGACAAAGGTGTCGTTTGTTCAGACAGTCCAAGCCTGCTATATTTCATTGCGCGGAGTGGCTCCATGCACCTGCTGGAAAGGCCCACAGTTAACGCTCGACATCCAAAAGGAATTCGGTGATGCTCAGTGATATAGCTAGGAAATAATCAGGCCAATATAATGTCCAAACAATACGACATTTATCCAACATATCTGTACCCTATCGCATAAGAATCCCTCCGATATTGTCCGAGACTCCTTTCCTATGTGTATTTAGCACTAACAGCCCGCGTCCTACCCCACAGACAGACGTACCGTGCCGAGGAGGAGGTGCAGCTGCACCTGGCCGCGCTGACGGAGCGCGGCTCGGTGCGCCCGCTCGAGTCGGGCGGCTACACGCGTGTCCAGGAGAACGACACGGCGGTGACTGTGGTGAAACAGATGCCGACCGTGGTGAGCGCCCAGCAGCCCACCATTGCCATCATCACGGCCAACTACTGCGAGAAGCTCGCCGTCGACGCCATGATTGTCAACAAGGAGACGTTCGTCCGGTTCACCACCGTCGGTGAGCGGCAGGGGAGGGAGGGAAAGGGACATTGGAGATCCGTCTGTCACTCGTCACCCAGGAGAGACTGCAGAATCCTTTCTCTCTGCCGGCCGGCTCTAAGCGCTGGCTGATTGTGTTTGATGCGTTGTCTCAACACAAGTTGATTTTCAGGTGTTGACTTGTCAACGATTCTAGAGCTGCCTTACCTTCAGTGCTGTGCTCCCCTCCCACCTCTGACTCTGCCCTCGCTCTCCCGTCCAGGCGAGTCGAACGTGTACACGCTGGGTAACATCGGCGCGCACCGGGTGGTCTCCACCAAGCTGCCGACGGTGGGTCACACGCGTGGCGCCGTGATAGCCGCCGGCAGCAGCACCACGCGACTGCTCGGCTGCTTCCAGGGCGTCGAGTACGTGTTCCTGGTGGGGGTCGGCGGCGGCGTGCCGCACTACACCGACTACAGCAAACACGTGCGGCTCGGGGACGTGGTGGTGGCGGCGCCCACGCCCGGACAGAGGTGAGGAGGAGCGGGGGGAGCGACGGGAGGTGGATGATGCCAGGGCTGGGTCCCGTGGTGGTGGTAGAAGGATGGAGACTGGTTGGCGAGGTGGCGCGGCGATAGAGCTGGAGTCATGTGTGGCGCGTAGATGGCGCATCAGGTCCCTTTGGACTACACAACATACCCTGAACGACACAGTCCACATCATGAAGTCACTATAAGCCACACAGTCCTAACAATTATAAATCGACACGCACCCTAGTGAAATGTAGATCTGCCAGCGGCACAGTGTGCCGTTAGACACCGTCCGTCGTCCAGTGAAGCGTAACGTTATGTTCTTCCTCCACCAGGTTTATTTACCTGCACTGCGAGAGGGCCAGTGAACTGGACGCCGGCGCGTACGAGTTCGAGACCAAGTCGTGGGGTCCGCCGCAGCTGGACCTGCAGAACATTGCCGAGCTGCTGCGACAGCAGGGCGAGGAGCACCCGGACGCGGCGCCCTGGCTCAAGTACATGTCGGACGGCCAGCAGCGGCTGCTGGAACAGGACGCCGCCTTCCAGCGGCCGCCCGACGACACCGACAAACTCTACATGGCCATCGGAGACAAGGACGTCATCGAGGTGGCGCACCCGGCGCCGGCCGACTGTACCACCAACCTCAGGTGAGGGGAGGGACCGACTGTACCACCAACCTCAGGTGAGGGGAGGGACCGACTTCACCACCAACCTCAGGTGAGGGGGACTGACTGTACCACCGCGCACCCGGCGCCGGCAGATTGTACAAACAACATCAGGTGAGAGGGACCGACTGTAACACCAACCTCAGGTGAGGGGAGGGACCGACTGTACCACCAAGCTCAGGTAAGGGGAGGGACCAACTGTACCACCAACCTCAGATGAGGGAGGGACCGACTGTACCACCGCGCACCCGGCGCCGGCCGACTGCGGCACCAACCTCAGGTAATAGAACGAGCAAGGGAGACCGACTGCACATTCAATCTCAGCGGATCTGCGGTGGGATGTAATGAAACCGTGGAACCTACTGGGACGAGAGCGGGCGCTGGAGATCGACATTGGCGTGGAACCTTGTGACGCAGGGAGCGGGACCGGCCCGTGAGCCATTTGGGTCCGATGGCCTCCCGGTTCCCTGTGTACCCTCCCTGTATATACCCCTGTGTAGTGTGTGTACTGACGGCACTGTCCTGCCTGTCACAGGGAGCGGGGCCGACCGATGATCCACCTGGGACCGGTGGCATCCCTGTCCCCCTGTGTAGTGTGAGTACTGACAGGGTGGCCCTGTCCGTTACAGGGAGCGGGGCCGGCCGATGATTCACCTGGGGCCGGTGGCCTCGGGTCGCCAGGTGGTGGGCCACGAACAGATGCGCCAGGAGTTCTCCAGCCAGGTCGGCATCCTGGCCTACGACGCCGAGTTCGATTCGGTCGTGGAGAGCATCTACGGCAACCGCAAGGACAACTACATCTTCATCCGCGGCATAGCCGGTCAGTTCAGTGACGTAGCTGTCCGGCAGCTCAGTGGCTCGCAGCTGGGGACTCTGGCCAGCGCTCAGGGCCCCGCCGGGTCCCCGACTCACTGAATGGCCCGACGACAACGAATTGTGTGCACACAATGTTAGGGCACATCGACTTCATTCCGGCATCAATTGAGTTCGTATTGACAATCCTCTGGCGTTCAAGCTGAAAAGAGCGCGGACGTAACGTTGTCGTTTTTGTGATTAGCTTCATGCTCGATAGAGCACACGCCTGCCATGGACATGCCAGAGTTTGTAATGGATTGGCGCGGTATTTCATATTGAAGTAATATTTACTATGCTACTTGACGTTCATACGTCATTGTCAGAGACAACTAAAAGACTAAGGCATTCAGGCCGCATTCCATATTGTTCGGATGTCCACCTTTAATACAATGTATGACATGCTTTTGAAAGCTCAGTGTATTTTCTAGACCCATCGAACATTTTTGGCAGTTTCTACATGGCTGCCGTACAAAGGCAAAACCGATTTCCTCAGAGTGACCTCTGGCCTTCGGTAATGACCTCTGACCCGACGTAATTATTTTCGCCTTTACACGGCAGATGGTGTATCACATCGATCCCTAGCTGACCTTACTTGACCGTGGCCTATGAGTGTGACCTGACCTGACCTCGCTGCCACTTGATCTGCCCTCGCTGTCACCCGTGGTCTCTGAGCTGACCCGCCGTTGCTCTCCGTACCGCAGACTACAAGGACGGCACGCGGGGCCGCGAGTGGCAGCCGTACGCCTCCCTGGCCGCCGCCAGTTTCATGAAGGCGGTCATCTGTGCCATGGACCCGCCGAAGGGCACGTGAGGGCGACCGGGCGCGCCCCACAACACCCCACCCCACCCCGGTCCGCTCGGGCCCCCACCCACCCAGCTGGGGACTCTGCAATTACTGTTTGTGCGTTTTGTATTGTATTATTTAAAACCTGTGTTCGTTGCGATGCAAGCTTATGCATTTTGTATTTGTGAGCTAACATGTGGGAGTGCGCGTGTGCCAGTGAGACGCACAGAGCGATCGCTTGAACGAGGAGTGACGCGTGCGTTCGTTCTCGGGTCGAGTGAGTGACGCGTGTGTCCGTTCTCGGCCGGCAGTCGTGAGTACCGATACGGTGTACCGTTTACCGTGCGCGGCGCCAGTGGGACGCGCAGCTCAGAATGCCCCGTTATGCAGCTAGGTCTTCGCAGTGTGGTGTAGCAAAGAGAAACCTATCGAAGTCGTGTGGAGTAAATCAAATGCTATATTGGCGAGTGGTTATACCATTTCGTGCACAGCAGTTCTCAGTGAAATGGGAATGCGTCCTTGTTAGATATTCAGATCGTATATGAATATGATAACAAACAGGTTTTCTTTCAGCGATCGAAAGTTGATATTTTTGTTTATATCTCATATGAAAAAACTGTTGCACTACTTTCGACCTAGTCATTCTCTCGTTTTAAATACAGGACGCCAGGCGGCTAGCTCTTTGCTGTACGGGCTTTCTATACCTACGGTGTCGACTTGGTAAATCTGTCACCGTGTTCGTCTGTCAAAGTCTGTCGGCTCGCAGAGTCTTGTCACAGTCTGTCGGCTCGCTGGTTGTCTGTCACAGTCGGTCGGCTCGCAGAGTCTGTCAGTCTGTCAGCTCACGTTATCTTCCACTGTCTGTCCGTCTGATTCTTCTGTCAGCTCTGACGGTGTCGGACAGCGGAGCAGCGGTGTGTCCCGCCGCTCGTATCCTACCCGCCGTGTCACTGCCAGTCCCCTGTCTGTCGTCCGTCCTCCCTCTCAGCCCCCAGTCACCCGAGGCGCAGACGTGCGCCGACAGTTCCATAATGCCGGGATACTCAGCCCCGCCCCCCGCTGTTCCATGCTGTAAGATCGCCCTTCGCTCTTCCCTCACCACACACCAGGCTCAGCTAGAGGCCGTGAAAACGCTGAGCTGATAACGTTTCATCTGTGAAGACCGAAATGCACCAATGTCGTCCTTGCACGGACATGCATAACCTTCACTTCTTTCCGCTACGTCTGGCTCCCCGGGGCAGGTCTCAACGGCGGCTCAGTGTTCGGTCGTGGGTATAGGACTGTGTGCCATGTGCGGAACTGTTCTGTGTGTGGGGGACTGTGCGCTATGTGTGGAGGGGATACCAGCCGTGCGCTGCCGCCAAGTTCCGAGTGTGATAACTAGTCAGTGAAGAAGCAGTTAACATAGGTCTGGCTGCTTCAGGCTTACTCGAAACGCCACGCTCGCCGATTTCAGAAAAGAAGCACAGTCTATGCAACGTACATACCTACTGTTAATAGTGTTTTTGGTCTGCTGGATTTAACTACACTTCACCAGTATTTGTCAATGATGTGCAACACTAGTAGGACTTTTGCTGTTATATGGTTCTGCGTTACTTATCCACGGCTAAATTATTTGCAAAAGGTAATGCCACAAGTCAACTAGTTCATCGTTTAGCCAAAATGTTGACCAGTATGCTGCTGCCACTCAGATGAAATACATATTTCACTGCTCATGTGTTGTTTTTACTCGCCGGCTGTGGGCGCGAGCGGATAAGTTGGTCACTTTGCCGTCTAAAGCACCTTCATTGGCATGGGTCACGTTACCTGATTGCTAAGTACGAGAGGGACGAAAGGAATACCGAAAACTAAGTTGCTTTATCAGTTTTTTTTTACAGATATAGATGTATCAGCCCGTTTAATGACAGTCGAACGCCATTGCCTGTTGCTACATCGTCCATGAGCAGAATAGAATACGTGTACGTAAGAATTGGCTCTGAACTGTTCGAAGAACTGATGTTCAACCATTTCAGAATATCAGTTCTGACATGTCTGGCCATTGTCATTTGTCCTGTTTATTAATAATGTTCGCAGCACCCGGACCATTGAGTGTGAGTGTGTGCGGTACACAGTCTGTTCAGACGTCATAGGCGTCACATCTTAGTGTATTCGACGCCGCTCTGGGCAAATCGACTCGGCTAACATCGGGGGCGAAGGCGATGGGCCGGACGGCTGCCGTGGGAAGGTGCGGCGCTCACCCGTCATTTGATAATGAGTGCGCTGAATGCGGCGCCAGTGTGTCCGTTTGCGCTGTCCGCGGGGCGCCTGTCCGCTGACCGGGGCCGGACCGCCGCCGGACCGTGTCACCGTCGGCCGCCCCTCCATCCGGGATCAATTGGAGCGCCGCACGGCCGGTCAGTCAGCGGACGGCCGCGGTCATGGCCGGCGGCCGGCCGCTGCCGCTGCTGGTGCTGGCAGCTGCCGCAGCAGCAGCCGCCGGCCAGCTGCCGGCCGCGGACGGCTCCGGCGACCAGCTGGACTGCCTGGCCAGCTACCTGGAGCACAAGGGCCGGCGCACCGTGGACGTCTACGTAGACCCGGCCGTCCACGGTAACTGAGGCGCTAATATCCCGCAGTACCCCACGATATAATCAGTCTGTAGCGGCGTTTGCAATTTGTCAATAAAGTGAATACTTTCGGACTTATAGACATTTTAAGTTAGGGGTTCCAATTTTTTGATCACCCTATATATGAGTTGATAGGTACGGATTGACGAGAGGATCATGGTGGTGCCATTAGTTTGTTCCGCTCGGCTACTTCGAAAGTTATTCGAGAAAAACTCTTCATTTCTAGCGCCGCCATTTTGACTTTTTTGACCCCTGTGACGTCATATTTGACATACCTGAAAATGACCTCAGTAAAAATTGTAGACCTTGTCAGCGTGCCCCATGCCGTTTACCGCTTGTCGCTATCTTGCTTAGTTCTCGAGATCTCAGATGGGGGGCGGTCAACCCCCCCCCCCCGTCGGTTCGGTAAGTAGTCGCGGACTCCCGTCGGTGCGCGGGTTAACCCACGCATGACTGGGGTATTTTCCATAACGCGAGTGACTGGGGGGTGGGGGGGGGGGCTCTCCAAAGCCCCCCTCCTATCTGCGAAACTACTAGGCCGATCGCCAAAATTCAAACGGCGTCTGATAGCCCTGGAAAACTGTCGAGCGAAACCTATTTTCATTGGCCTCGAGGTCACCGATGACGTCACAGGTCAGGTCAAAGTAAAAATTATCGGCATTTTTGCTTGTTCACAATTTAGGCTCTGGCCGCCCGCTCGCCGGCACAGGGGGGGGGGGGGTTGATGCAACCCCCCTCCCTAAGGTTTTTCGCGAATAACTCGCGTAAAAAGCGGCCGATCACGACGAAACTTTCAGTACCCTCGCATTGATCAATTTTATACCTACCCTGAAAATTTCATAACCCTGACCCAAATGACCTTTTACCTGTGACCTCTTTTCCGAGACCATGTTTGGCCGGAATCGCGATTCAGCATATGTCGGCTCGTTCTAGCCGCGCGTTTGCAAGTTTTTCGTGGTTTCAAACGTTCAAACATGTGATTTGATGTTGCTCCCATACATTAGGGTGGTGGTCAAGGTCACCTGAAGGCATGGGTGTTGATTTGTATACCTTTGGGGGTGCTGCAGCACCCCCAATGCTCAAATGAGCACCCCCAATGGTTTTCCGGGCACCCCCGAATGTTCCAGTTAGCACCCCCAATGATTTTGTCCCTCAATAACTCCCACTAACTCTGCTGAAGAAAATAATTGGTTCTGCAGTCTTTCACTACTAAAACTAAAACAATTACACAACTTGCAATGCATGAAATAAAGATGTAAAGAAAAGAAAAGTTAGTTTTAAGAAGAAGGGCGAAAAAAACGGTAAGTAGCAAAGACACTGGTGTGGGTCCGTCGTACACGGATGTCGGACCCTTAGAGCTGCTGGAGCGTACCCTTTACAAGCCGGCAGGGGGCTCCAGAGACCGGCGACGGGCCCTCAGAGGCCGACAAAGGGCCATCAGAGGCCGGTGGTACCTTAAGAAACCCTGTGGGGTCGTCTTTAGAGACCGGCACGGACTCAGCGCCGATGGGGCCCTCAGAGTAGCCGGTGTGGGGCCTTCAAATGTCACCAGTGGGTGGCCGTCACATGCGCACTTGTGGGCCTTTAGAAGCTAAGCTACGATGTTGGGCCCCCAGAGCCGCCGATATAGGGCCTTAAGAGGCACTAGTGTGGGGCCCTTAGATATGGCAATGTGGGGCCCTCGGAGCCGCCGGTGTGGAGGGTTCACAGTCGCCGGTGACGGCCCTCACAGGCGCCGTTGTGGGGGCTCTCAGAGACACTGGTTTAGGGCCATCACAGGCGCGCGTGGGGCCCTCAGAACTGCTGTTACGGAACAGACCCTTCATAGGCCGACAAGAAGATATTAAGAGGTCACCGGTACCTTCAAGAGCCTTGTGGGGTTCTCAGAGACTGGTATGGTGCGCTCAGACGCCGCTTGGATCCTCCGAGTCACCTGTGTGGGATCGTCAGGGTCGCTGGTAACTGACAAGGGCCCTCAGAACCGCCCATGTAGGGTTTTTAAAGCCATTGGTGTAGGGCCTCAGAGTTAGGGGTGTGTGGCCCTTAGAGACGCCGGTGTGGCGCTCAGGGGCGCCGGTGAGGGCCCTCACAGTCGCCGTTATAGGGGCCCTCAGAGAAATGGGTGTGGGGCCATTACAGGCGGGTGTGCAGCTCCTAGAGCTGGCCCCCTATAGGCCGGTTAGGACCCCCAGAGGCCGGCAAGTGGGCCTCAGAGGCTGGCTTGGGGCCCTTATGGAGATCTTAATGTTGGTACTTGTGGGCCCATGAGGTGTTCTTACGAGCCCTGTGGGGCCCTACTTAGTCCAAATATGGCCAACGTGGACCTTCAGCGGCCAATTGGCGCCGCAGGGCCCCTCAGGCCCGAATAACCCGAGGGACCCCTGAACCTGATGGGGGGGGGGAGGGGCATGTGCCTCACGGGCCCACCTGGCTACGCCACTGACTGGAAAGTCGTAAACCCATAAATATCGAAATGCGATCACCTGTCATAATCAGAGATTATTGTGATCGTCTGATTACCGCCAGAGCTTCGTAGCTACCGTTCCCTCCGCGCAATATCCACTCCTGCGGACCGCAGGGGCTGCTGCACCGGTGCTAATCGCCGTCATCGGTTACTGTCGCCTTATTACCGAGGTGCCGGGGCTGCAACCAGCTGCCGGCAAATGTACGACTTTTTTCGGAGACATATTTATGTAATAAGGTAGCCAAGTACCTACCAGGACGAGCAGAATGATGCTGAAGAACGTTCAACCTTTGGGGAATATTAGTGGAAATCCCGGAATTATCCCGGCAGTTGCTGGGGTATTTCGCCACCCACCGTTTGCTGGGGGGGGGGGGGGCGTTAAACGCCCCCAGCTGATAACTCGAGAACCAATAGGCGCAGCGAAACGCACGAGGCGGCAAACGAAAGAACGCGACGAGACGCTTCAGATGAGTACTTTAAAGTTGAATTTTGAGGTCACAGGTCGGGTCAAGGTCAGGTCAAATACCTTAAATTGGGCTTTCAGTAGCATGGACTTCAGGACTTCGCAATGGGCGCCTCTCATCATAAACTCTGTCAAAACGGTGCACAATCCATCATATAAGGCCTACAAGAGTGTCAGCTCCATGTAGGGGTCAGTCAAGCATAGGTCAGGGTCAAGGTCAGGTCAACCAGGTAGGCACATATCCCCGAAAATCAAAACTGATATTCGCAGCCTGTGACACATGTTTTATGGGTAATTTGGGGCGTACAACACGATGGTGACGTTCATTATATCATATGTGTACGTGTTTGGCTCAAAAAGTTCAATTTAAGAAAGGCATGTATCATGGTCGGTAAGTAGTAACGAGAAATTGCCAAGATTCAGTTCAAGATTTTGGAAAATGCGGAACGATAATCAATAATCGAAGATAGCCATTTGATTGTTCATGGTATTGGCAGTCTAATAGCGTTTACGACATGTCTGTATGTCTATTCTGTGATTTTATATGATTTTTTGAACATATGCCGTTTTTGGTCGAAAACTCAGAAATCATGACGTCACTAAAACCTCGATATTTCAAAAATTTTCCGACCGATTTTTTTGAAACTTTGTCACAATAAACTTCAATCGATTCCCTACAGGTACCCAAATTTACAGGCGCCGTTTTTATGCTATGCCCGGCGAAAAAAGTGGGGGCGTTTAACGCCCCCCCCCCCCCCAGCAACTCGCGGGTTATCAGTAGGTACCTTATGAAGATACCCAACCATGCCTTGTATGTGCGGTTGTGCCCCATGGCAAAGCTGCAATCTTTCACCCGGTGCAGGGGTTGAGCACCCCCAACCATTTTGAAAAATCGACACCCCTGCCTGAAGGTCACGTCAGGTCATTGACCTTTGGTGACCTCGGGTGACCTCGGTTCACTTTTTCGAGTTTTACATGTTTCTAGGCTAGTTTTTGGAGCTGAATTCGAATTTAGCAACCATTTGAACATTTACAAGTAGTTTTGGTGCCTTCGTAACATGTTACGAAGCTGTCAGAGGCGGTTGACACGTACCTATTACGAATACCCGTCACAACCCGTACCGGTTGACCTGACCTGACCTGACCCGACCTGGTCTAAATGCTTAAAGACATCATCTTTGATCAAAACTAACACGATATTCGTGATCAGCACCCCGCAAAACCACATAGCAGCCACACTTTACGACTTTCTAACAGGTCCCGATTTTTTCGATTTTCGGGTCATTGACCTGACCTGGAAGGTCACCCGATGACCTAGGACCTTAAAATTGGGTATCATCGGCTTCCTCTCGTGACGGTCAACACGCTCGTTTTTTCTGCGAAGCTCTAGCTCGATCAGGGGCCAAACGCGGGGGGGGGGGTCGTATCCCCCCCCTTGTGCCGTCGAAGGACACAAAATGGCCTGTGCCGGCGGGGGTTAAGACCTTACGCTGGTGGCGGTAGACCAAAAAATATAGAGTTGATGATTGTGATTAATAAATTGTATGCTAAACATCAATCGATAAATTGGTTTCGCAGATACCTAATGACGCGGGCGCAGTTAGGAGACTTGGCGCAATTTGGGAACTCTCCCCTATATAACTACATTGCGGTATAAGGGAGCACCCATTGACCTATAATAAGTACATATTATAGGTCAATGGGAGCACCAGCACTTATTGATTCACTAAAGAAAATGCTTATGCTCGTTTGCAATATGCACGCGCACTACACGCGGTAGCTTCGTTGATGAAAGGCTGGGTCCGTAACAGCCGCAGAGACCGGGGCATTTAGGCTCGCTGCTCCGCAAAGCAAATATCCTGCGACAAAGGAACAACGTTTTATGTCCGATTCGATTACCGTGTCTGGAGCGCTTTAGATGCATCAGACTGATAGCAGTAACAGGTCGTTCACCAAATAGACGGCACGATAGACGCGCCAAGACCCCCAATCAATACGTGTCATAACGATCAAACCGCTGATAACAGTGTGCAAATCGCAGTAGGAAGAGACTCCGCTCCGCTCCCCGTTCACTAACGCAGGTCTCGCTCGGCGCCGGCTGTCCTCAGCGGCGGAGCCGGCGCGCCTGCTGCAGCTGCTGTCCGCGCGGCTCGTCTTCGCGCGCGTGCAGCGCGGCGCGCCGCCGGTGCCGCCGCGCCGGGACCGCGCCGGCCGGCTGCCCTCGCAGGTCATCTGGTTCGCGCCGGCCGCCGACTCGCCGCAGCTGAGCCGGCTGAGGGCGCGGGTGCGCGCCGACCAGTCGCTCGCCTGGCTGCTGGTGGCCCTGGACGGCCCGGGCGCCCACCTGCTGGACGGGTTCGCGCCGCGCCACCACTACATGGTGCGAGAGCGGGACGCGGTGCGGTTCTACAGCGGCCGGCGGTACTATGAAGCCAGCGGAGCGCGCCTGCAGTGTGAGGGCGGCCGGCTGGTGCCGGTGCCGGGCCCCGCCGGCGGCAGCGGCGCGCAGAAGGGCCGCCGCCCCATGGAGGGCGTCCACCTGCGACTGCTCTACCTGGACGCCGGGGACGCCGCCCGCGACAGCCCGTCGCTCGTTCACCAGCTGCACGTGCAGCAGCGCAACGGCACCATCACGGGCGGCCTGGTGGGCTCCATCGTGCTGCTGCTGCAGGACGCGCTCGGGTTCAGCTACTCGCTGCGGTCCGTACGCGCCACGGCCAACAGCAGCGTGTTCGACAGGGCCGTGGAGCTGCTCTACCGCGGCGAGGGCGACCTGCTGGCCGGCCGGCTGCTCTACAGCCCGTACCGCGGCCGGCGCGTCGACTTCTCGCACCCGGTCATGGTGGAGCTCTCGGGCGCCGTGCTGAGCACGAAGCACATCCGTCCGCTGAGCGAGTTCGCCGTGACGGTGCCGCTGCAGCCGGCCGTCTGGTGGGCGCTGCTGGCCACCCAGGCGGTGGCCGTGCTGGTGCTGTCTCTGATCGCCGGCTGCCAGCTGCGCCTGCGCCGGCCGCTCGGACAGCCGTCGGACGCGGCCGACCCGTCGTTCTGGGCGCTGATCGTGCTGGGCGTGAGCTGCCAGCAGGGCGCCACCGTCCGCTCCGACGCCGCCCACTCGTACCGGCTGGCCATCACGGCGCTCTACCTGCTCTCGCTGTTCGTGTTCGCCTGCTACTCGGGCAACCTGCTGGCCAAGATGACCGTGGAGCGGCCGCAGATGCCCTTCAACAGCCTGCGCCAGGCGCTCGACCACGGCTGGCGGGTCTCCACACAAGGCATGAGCGAGGCGGTGCGCCAGGCCGTCATGGACCCCGTGTTCGGCGGCCGGCTGTCGTCCAGCCAGCTGACCCCGGACGGCCCGATGGACGGCAAGAACCTCATCATGCTGACGGCCACGTTCGCCAACCACAAGTACAACTGCACCAATGACAAGCTGGCCGAGCCGGACGGCTGTCCGGTGTGCATGTGGGACGGCGCGCTGACGCGGCACCGGTACTCGCTGCCGTGCCGGCGCGGCTTCCCCTACCTGCGGCTCTTCAACTACCTGCTGCCGCGCCTGGTCGACAGCGGCCTGGTCAGCCGCCAGATGACGCACTGGACGCCGCGCGCCGAGCGCGACATCCTCTGTCCGCTGGACCGGGTGCGCCTCAAGAACATCCAACTCGGCACCGACAACCTCAAGTACGTGTTCGCCATCGTGCTCGGAGGTCTGGTCGGCTCCATCGCCGTCCTCGTCCTCGAGCGAGTCGTCTTCGCGCTCTGGATGCTCTACACTCAGCGGAAGGTCGAGAAAGAGGGGGCCATGTTCGTACACACAGCGAGAATTATGAAAGGCATGTCCTGATGGACGCCATTTGTCCGCACCGTGTCTTGTTTGGGGTTTTCATTGTATGTGCGTCACGGACAACTCTTATTATGATATGGCTCAAGGGATCGGTCACTCATGCACCCGACCAAACATGTAACGCCAAAAGCATTCACATTTCACACAGAGGTTTGCTCGCTATATGACGGATGCAGCTGTATTGAGTCAGTGTTAACGTTGAGAATGGGAAAATATCCATTGCTTTATTCGGCACTTACGCCCTGCTCTTACAGTTAACCACTTTTGACTTTGCCTACAAGGCCATGTCATTGATTGATAGCTAACAAACTTTGCCTTTCACTTGTATTTCATCATGTAGCGTCCAATTCTAAGTGTCGCACACTCGCACAGCTTCTGAGACGTTCCACTTCGACTACGTTTTTGTCGTCTCCTTACATCCACCCTGCAGCTGGGTCAGAGAGCAACATCTGATAAGTTGTGTCCTCTACGTATTCAGACCCCAGTGCAGGTTACTCTGGTAATCATATTGTTATGGTTTATTGATTGAGATGCCGAAGCGCATGATCGTGCCGTTTACTACGGCAGGCTATCTGTGTTGCTACGAAATTTTTGCCTGTTCGTTTTTTCATTTCTTTTTTTTTTTTGTTCGCCTGAAACTATATCAGGCAAATAACAATCGAGGCGCTTCTTGCAATGAAAGCTACACGAGCTACTCACGTGTCGTCTAAATAAAAAAACCGATGGACAAAGCTGGGAAATTGTGTATAATTGTGTATGTTTAGTGTTCATATAAGTCAGTTCAGCTTATATCGGTGATCGTTCAGTCACCATGCTGGTCGGGTCACCCAGTAGTCGAGTAAGCACTGGGCAGCGCCGAGAGACCAGCGCTGCGAGCCAGGCGTCCCCACAACGCTGCCTGGACGAGCAGTGACCCCACACGTATAGAGGACGCTGCAGCCTGCAGTTGCAGCGGCCGGCCGGCGACCTCCGACGGTCCCAGCCAGGCCGGACGACCCTCCCAGTCCAGTGTGTGAGTGTGGCAAACACAGACCCCGTCCAAACCCCGTACACCTCCCCACCACCCACCCCAGTCGTCTCACAAACACCGGGAACAAACTGGAGCTGTATTCACGCTATATCACCAGTTCTCCCAGTCTCTCATTTGTACCAGGCGTTGACGGCCTGGAACAGCTTGCGCTTCCGGATGCAGCGGCAGTTAGAGTTCTGGATGGTGGCCACGCCGGCCCGGCTGATGTCGATCATGCAGCCGAAACAGCTGAAAAACGCGGCGCGGGTGGGCTTTAGACACGAACTACACGGCATCTCACCGATAAGGCTACTGTAAAATGGCAGGAGAAATGGCCACATATGCTAATATATTTGTCTGAATAGGACATCAGCCGGACACTTAGCTGAATATGTTGTGACGCAGATTAATGAAATACACCGATTCACGCTACTTATAAACACAGCTGCACTTACTAGACCTCCACTTGGTTGGTGATCCACTCGGGTTTGCCCTTGTTGAGGTCATTGAACTCTCCCTGCTGGGCCCACTCTGCCTCCGAGCCCTGGCTCCAGGTGTGACTGCCGTCTGACGGGGCGGGGGACGACGGGTCACGGCGGGTCAGGGCGGGGGACGACGGGTCACGGCGGGTCAGGGCGCCGGCGCCGACCAGTGGACACTGGACAATCACGACAGTCATTCAATTATGCTATGGATTATGCTATGGATAACATATGGATTATGCTATGTCAATCACGACATAGCATAATCCATTTCCAATGACGAACAAAATGATCAGACTGGGGCAGGTCACTGGTGTATCGGGTCAGGTTGCATATATCGATTGATCCAGCCAGATGTAGCACACATGCTTGATTCTGAACCGCTATCGCAGCCAAAGTAAATTTTTGGAAAAGAGGAAGAAGTGTCATGACAGGCGAGAGCAGGATGAGCAGGAATACGAGAGAGGAAAGGGAGGAGCGATGGATGACTGTCCGATCATTGGCCACCCGTTACCAGCCGTTCGCACCCTGTTGCCGTCGGGAGAACGACCCGTGTGCTCGGCAATCGGGAGGCGTCAGATAGTGTACGCTTCGCTGGGATTAACCGTCACAGGGGGATTACCGAGACGGGACGGAGAGAGGGTGAGGGAGGGAGAGAGAGAGAGAGAGAGAGAGAGAGAGAGAGAGAGAGAGAGAGAGAGAGAGAGAGAGAGAGAGAGAGAGAGAGAGAGAGAGAGAGAGAGAGAGAGAGAGAGAGAGAGAGAGAGAGAGAGAGAGAGAGAGAGAGAGAGAGAGAGAGAGAAGAGAGAGAGAGAGAGGAGAGAGAGAGGAGAGAGAGAAGAGAGAGAGAGAGAGAGAGAGAGAGAGGAGAGAGAGAGAGAGAGAGAGAGAGAGAGAGAGGACGAGACGCGGGAGATGGACGGAAAGCAAAACAGCTGAGGCCACAGAGATAGCCGGATACGGGCGGAACGAGGTGACTGCCCAGCGACACGATAGAAATGATGAATCACAAATTGAGTGGAAACTGGCACTTAACCCGGCGGCCGCTGGGCCTCCGCGCCACCCGCCGGCCGCTGGGGGGGGGGGGGGCATAAAGTTGCCCCCCCTTTACTTCTGCGACGATATCGTCGCAACGCGAAGAGATAGAGAAGCGAAACTTTGCACACATCTTCCTGAATACCTAGCCGAGGTTGTGTCCAACTTTGGTGTCGATCCCATTTGAAATGACGTCACAGTGACGTCATAAGTGAAATTATAGATTTGCGACTCTCATATTCCTCACGATACATCACATATATGGAACCGAATATAAAGGGCCGATTATTGGTCAGAAACTAGATGGAAGTGTAGTAAGATGTTTTAGGATGACAGCAGGTGCTGTCTAGTTCATTTACAGTCGAGTTTCATGCTCAGCGTCATCAGAAACGGTCCATGTCGGAAAACGACAAAACTTTATGACGTCACTGTGACGTCATCTTAGGTGCTACAACCACCAAACTTTCCTCAAACATTGCCTAGGTATTCATTTGAAGCTATGCCAAGTTTCACGTTCGTAGCTCATCAGGTTTGGGAGATATTTCACAAAACGTAAAGGGGGGGCAACTTTATGCCCCCCCCAGCGGCTCGTGGGTTAAAGGTAGTGTGCCAGCTTTCCTGGACCGTATGGAGTTAATGGCCCAAATAACGAGAACCGGATTTTTAGAACTTATCCATACCTTCAAAACTCATGGAAACGTCTTAAATTCTTCAAATTTTGAGTACCCCAGTGCGAAATTCGCCCCGACGAGATGTCGGTCGTACCCCAACCACATTTCACACCACTATGAACAATAAATGCACACACTGAAATCGCTATTACCGATAGGCTCATCCAATCAAGTTTCGATAAACCCGTTCATCATCATCTCCTGCGGTTTCGAACACGCCTGTTAGGTGGTGCGGTAGACCACTCCCAAAGCCAGGGCCCCGGTAACGTGAGGTAGCCGAGTCGGGGCAGCGTGCGCTGACCCAAGCCGGGGCCGCGCGTCCTCCCGGTGTCATGTGATAGCCCGGGGCTGCCCGCGGGGATGCGGTAGACCGCGCCCAAAGCCGCGGCCCCGGCTTGGGTCAGCGCACGCTGTCCCGACTCGGCTACCTCACGTTACCGGGGCCCTGGCTTTGGGCGCGGCTTCTGCTCATACTTTGTGGTGCGGTGGTGGTGCGTCGGGCCGCGCGCTCTGACTTCGGCCAAGAAAAATGCGTCAGCTGATCATTGTCATTTCTGCCACTTTCATGTGGTGAGATGGGGTCATAACTTTAGAGACGGCTGTTTCATATCAATTATTTTACATAAAATAATATTTCAAACCATAAACTAATGTTCGACAGCCAAATTAAAGAAACAATACCAATACAGGCTTACAGTTTAAATTCGACATTGTGTTGTCTACGATTAGACAGCTGATAACTCATTCCCGTACGTCGTAACTCTATAATGACCTTTGCTTATTGTCACATGTGCGCCGCATTCGTGATTGTTGCCGACGCCTGTTTGCAGGTCAGCCCACTACAGTTGTTATACATATCGAATAACCGATAAACTTTTAGGCGAAAAAAGCACTATTTTAGGCCCATTTTTGATTTTTTTTTTGCGATATTAGGTAAAAACAGAAGCTTCTTATCCTAGGAAAAATAAAATGGGAAATCATTTGAAGGTGGCACACTACCTTTAACATATTCACCAAAAGCAAAAATAAGCAATGCGTTCAAAAGCTAGCATACCTATAGGGTTTGATAATTGATAGTCAACATGATAATATATAATTATTTTCAAGTTAATTAGTTATCACTTACTGTTCACTTCAGGGCCGCATTTTTCAATAGCAGATATCACCTGCAAAAAAAGTGTTCATCATAACAGCCCATTCATAACAAAACATTATCATGGCATTGAAAATTATCATTAAATATAACCGATAAATGCCAAGTTGCGACGTTGAGTGCAATGATTATTTCATATTTACCAGAATCACACCGAATCATTTTATAGTTAGTGCTCCAGATCAGCCTGAAAATAATGCGTCTTAGCGCTCGATGGCTGATGTCTCATTTCTGAAATCCCTTTGGAGTTATTTTCCAATGCTCCTACGCGCTAGCAAAGACGGTGCGAAAGTGATTCGGGGCTATATTCTCACGAAAACAGCGTCTTTGGGTGAGGTGACAGCCCGATGAGGTATAACACGCGACAAGCGAATAACATGACATGGCGGCGGCGGGGAGGCGGACGGCAACGCGTGTGTCGCCAGACAGACCAGGCAGAAATGGGACACAACGTTATCGCGGGCGCGCGTCCCCTAGCCTAAGTCACGTGACCGCGACGGACGTCTTGGCTGCGCAGCGGCCGCGCGCTGGTTCATTGCCCCTAGAGGGCCAAACAGAGAAGTCATGGTACCACAAATTTTTTCGCTCGTATACGATTGGAAAAAGCTCCTAGCTGCGCTAAACGCCGATTTTCCAATGCTCCTACGCGCTAGCAAAGACGGTGCGAAAGTGGGGTCAATATCACTGGACACAGCAACCCGGCGCCAAAACTGGCCAAGAGACCAACACATACTGAGCACAGGGACCCACACCGCTGGGCACAGCGACCCGGCGCCAAAACTGACCAAGAAGCCAACACATTCTGGGCACAGCGGCCCGGCGCCAAAACTGACCAAGAGGCCAACACATTCTGGGCACAGCGGCCCGGCGCCAAAACTGACCAAGAGGCCAACACATTCTGGGCACAGCGGCCCGGCGCCAAAACTGACCAAGAGGCCAACACATTCTGGGCACAGCGGCCCGGCGCCAAAACTGACCAAGAGGCCAACACATCCAGGGCACAGCGGCCCGGCGCCACGACAGGCCAAGAGGCCACCACAGACTGAACACAGGGGCCCACACCACTGGGCAGACGTTTACATATTACGAAGCGTATAAAAAAAACTCATTCAGTGCTGCCGAGCCGATCCAGTGTTTACGACTCCGACCCAGGTTCGAAAAAATATGTATATGCATATTTAATCCATATAACTATATAAATGCGTCGCTTCCAGCTCTAATCCAATTGGGGAACAACAATCGACTCCGATTTCGTTGCCGAGCCCACTCCGCCCAAAACTACCGACTCCAGCCAAACAATTCCTGCCTCCCCGAGATGCTAACTCGGTACCCACGCGTGAAAGCCGGGTGTTCTAACCGCTAGACTATCGAGGCACTGATTCCAACTCCAACCGCGATTCCGTGGCACGACGGTGAGGAAAACCTCAAACCCAAAGCCGAAGCCGCCGCCGACGGCCGGGAACAGAGGTGTGCCAACCCAAAGCCGAAGCCGCCGCCGACGGCCGGCCGGAACTGAGTTGTTGACACATGACACCCTGGCCGGGCGGGCGAGCAGCGGAGGACGTGCCGGCGCGGCTAGACACATGACACCCGCGGCGCGGCGACTGGGCCGGCCGGATCGGCCGAGACAAAGTCCACGCTGCTGCTCGTCTCCCAGTGCACAAACGCAGCCGGAGCCCGGTATTAGAGATGCTAACTTTCCTCCAAAAGCCACAACCGGCACCGTTCCACACCACGGCCAGCACAAGGATCACCGGCACAACACCACAGTTCAACCACCAATGCCGGCATATTACCAGCGTGATGAACAAATATCTCGTTTATGCTGTTTGTAGGACAATTTACAACAAGAAGTATTACTTGTATCCAAATATAACCCATGCACATGACCGGCAAGCTGCCGGCAGGAAGAACCACCACCATATCGCTATTGGCGTAATGTAAAATTACCGGCCAGCCGGCAACGTATTAAGGAAACCTTGCACCTCTACCCGGTATGGAGGACCAAGGCATACCTACATTACGAAGCCTAGAGGCGACACATCATCTCCAAGATTGCCGACAGGAACCACTTGCAGCCTCGAAAACACTGTCTCACACAAAGCTGGCGTGATGGGGACGCTAGCCCGGCCCTAGCTCGCATGATGAGCATTGCCCGGAAACACCACTCATCAGTATAACACAACAACACATGCACAGCACACCGCTCTAAATTGATCACCACCAAATCGAGCACATATAAAAACCGGGAAGCCGAACGGCAACTGTGTGCGAAAGATATATGCGTACCTTGTAACGCCAGTTGGTGGTAAGAGCGGAGCGCCAACGCGTGTGTCGCCAGACAGACCAGGCAGAAATGGGACACAACGTTATCGCGGGCGCGCGTCCCCTAGCCTAAGTCACGTGACCGCGACGGACGTCTTGGCTGCGCAGCGGCCGCGCGCTGGTTCATTGCCCCTAGAGGGCCAAACAGAGAAGTCATGGTACCACAAAATTTTTCGCCCGTATACGATTGGAAAAAGCTCCTAGCTGCGCTAAACGCCGATTTCATTTTGCTCAAATGACACCCAGTTCGACAGTTTGTCTGCTGATCATTTCCAAAATATATAGCGGTTGATGACGCATCACGCCTATTCAAATATCTAGAGGCCAGCATTTATCAAGCAGCCTTGCCGCATATGGCGTCATACAAACAACAAATGAGCAATAAATAACTAGCTATCGACTTAAACCAATTCATACCTCCTCAATTTTATGCGCCTGAAATCCATAACGCTTGAATTTTAATTCTGCAAAAAGCAAGCGATTGATTCTTACAGTGAGCTTTTCAGCCGGTAATACATGGCTCCATAAGGAATCAAACAACGAAAATATGGCCCAAAGTTTTTCAGTCGGCAATTTATCACCAACTGCGACAGACGGCGGCATAAAGCAGCCGTCCGCTCCTTCTATAGAACGGTGACATATATGCGCCGTCCGTCTTCGCTGGCTCCAGATAAGAATGAAACCGTGAAGGGCGCCTGCCAGTGGTTCCTTACGCGACAAATCTGAGCCACACGGGCCTCGAAAACATCGTAAAATAAAAGCAACTTGCAAGATAGAACAATTGAAAGGTCAAATAAAATTTGAATATGAAATTAGCAACACAAAACTACTAACATTTCTGGCTTCTTATCTCTACATGTTATAAGGCGTGACTGACTGACTTTCATTCGAAGCGTTCCACACAATCGAGGCCCGAGTAATCACTGCGGGTAGACCCGCCCTACCACCCTGCACTGTCAGTAAATACATCACCCGAGGTACCAGCGCGGGTTACCTGGCAGGCGGCCAGCAGGACGGCGGCGACCAGCAGTGTCTGGGTCCTCATGGCTGGCTGGCTGGTTGGCAGAGGGCAGGTGTGATCGGCAGGGGCGCTCGGTCGGCTCTGACCCGCCACACGACCGGGCCGTCCTTCTCCTCAGCTCACCCCTCGCCCCGCCGGTAATAGCCGCCGGCCAGCAGCGCGATAAATGGCCGCCGACAGTTGTGGACATTCACAGCTGCTGACGGCTGATGGCCGACGGAGCGGTACCGCTCGCGCCGCCCCCGCCGCCGCCCCCGCCCGCCGCCGGAGCACTCAGACAAACCGCTCCGTGCCCGCCGCCCGCCTCCCCGTCCGCCGACAATAGCCGACGGTTCCTCCGCAGACAGCCGGGCAGCCGCCCTCTCAGCGCCATGGGAAACGGAAACAACAAAACAACCGACAGACGGGAAACGAAACGCCATGCGCAGAGATAATTGGGATGCGGAAAACACGGGGAAATAATATCCGAATTGCGCTTTATCAAATACTTCTGATGTAAGCGAAATGCAGAAATGCAAGGGAAATAGGTGAGGGTATAAGAAAGAAATATCGAACATGACTTCACCAATCTCTTTGCAGCGTAAACCATCCGAGCATCTACTGAACCATTCTACGCTCCCTTTTAGCGTCATCTGAGGACTAAGTCACGGGGGAGTCAGTTTTCCGTGTACGGCTGAGACAGATGTATTTACCCACTGACGTGGACGCCATTACACTTTCCGCCACTTTGTGTGGCGCATTAGCTATAGCATTCCCCCGTTACAGAGTGGTCTAGGCCGGATCCTCCTTGGCTTTGCTCCTCCTTAGCCTCAGCTCACAGCTTACTGTACTCAACTAGTAGCCAGTAAAGTTATGGCACGAGAGTGGACCAGTTGGGTTCACTTATAAAGTCAAGAGCAGGACCAAAAGGGCTTATTAGTCCTCTTTACCTGCACATCAAGTACATCAAGTACAGTACATCAAGTACAGCCTCCTTTAGTGTTTATAAAACATGAACCTAAGCCCTGGGCGCATTAGTTTGTTATCGGTTATCCGTTATATACGTACAACAGGTGCTTAGAAGTGTGAGAAGCACAGTATAATGCAACGCTGGGCGTCCATGCAATATTTTTTGCAATGCTCAGTAGTTCCCTTCATATATAACTTATTCTGTAGGGTTACCACGGAAAAGCTATAACGATACACATCGGTCTCCTCTCACCAGCCGGAAAGCAAAACGTATCGCTGCATTTGGTTGCAGCTCGTGTGCCATGAGCTATGTGGGTCCCGGGATACAGAGCAGCCCGCAGACAATGGAACGCCGCGACAGCGCGACACAATATGCGGTTTGGCAATGGCCTCTGGGCCCCGTCCTGATGTTCGCTCTCTGTGGCGACAAATAACGCCCGACCTCTGGTAACAGAGCCGCGTCGGCCGACAATATTGTCAGCGGAACAGGGATTCAGTCGGCCGACAGAATTCCGAAAAGGAACCCAGTGACCCGCCGCTTCGATGGACGGCGACTGTACCGCATCGTTGTTCTTTTCTAGTGGGAAATGTGTTTACCAAAATGATATGATAGCAGCCATTACCGCCCGCCCAGGCGGCCCTCGGTGCGTATGACCCGTCAGTGAGTGGACGCAGTCGGGACCGGTCGTCCCACTCAGGACCCACCTGTGCGTCATTTGGGAGTATTTAGCGGCGCCGCCAGCTGGCGCTAACCGGTGATCTCTGTCCTGATTAGAGGCCATTTGCTGGATCGGAGCAGGTCACAAGAGCTTAAATGGTGGTACGCAGTTGGCGGAGGTCAGTCATCGCCGGAGCGTGGCCGCCGTCCCAGCCAGCGTCTGAACATGAAGTACCTGCTGCTGCTGCTGGCGGTTACCCTGGCCGCGGCCACCACCTACAACAGCCGTGAGTTGGGACAGTGAAGGCCTCTGAGCCTGAGGAGAGACAGCTGAGGAAGGAACGCGCCACGCGGTAGCTTCATAGGTAATTGCAGCTGACAGAAATGCTTTTCTTTATATCTACCAGCCCCTTGTTTGTCAGCTTAACTGAAGGAAAAATATTCCTGAATCCTGATATTATTGCACGTCAGCAATTCACCATTCGCTCGTTGTGGGGCTGGCCGAGCGGCACAGCGGCTACCTGCGTGGTAGACTGTGCCGCATGACACAGCTGTGCTGCGGTACAGAGGCACTAGCCGGCTGGTTCCGCCGACTGTTGGTCGGGCATTGCTCCAACACTTCAGCTTCGGGCGTAGCCCATTATCAAGTCTGACAATTCCGGATGTGAAATTCCGTTGCTAAATCATATCCAAACCAGCAATGAGCGATCCAACAAAAGCTTGACACATTGTAATGCTCTTCACAAATATCAAAGCAGTGCTATTCATTGTTTAGTCAAATTCACGTTCAGGCTATATTCTTTTTAGATAGGTTTCCAAGGTCTTCGCAAAAATTTGAAAAGCATCAATGAGAATAAAGGTGTTTCATTATATAATCAACGAGTTAAAAAGTTATAAAGAAAAATGATGCTCTTATTCTCCTATCCATCGCCTAGTGAGTGTTAGTCTGTCACTTGGCCATCATGTTCCACGTTTCAGCTCCCGAGCAGCAAAGCATCAACCAGATCGAGCCGCAGATCAACACGCTGTCGGACAAGCTCAGCGAGGTCAAGCTGGAGGAGTCGATGGACGAAGCTATGAGCGTGGCCCGGCTCCGGCTCAGGAAGGTCCAGGTCACGTAAGTAGCGCCTTCTTCCTCCTCTGGATTCTGGGCTTGACTGTCCGTCGATCAGAACACAATAAGTGACACAGCCGCCAGCGCCGTCCTTCAATTCACCTGTGTACGATTCATTTGTCGTCTGGCCGACCCGACGGACGACCCAATCTGTCGCTGGTCTCAGTTTATGAGTCGCCGGCGGTACCGGTTTGTGTGCCCACAGCTCGTCGGCACACAGCCGCGGGCTGTCCGTGTCCACCTGGGGCGGCCAATCTGCGCCGGGTCTCCCCACTGACCGGTCCGTCCCCGCCCCTGTCACAGCTGCATCGGCTGCGTGTTCGGCAAGCGTTCCTGCACGGCCGTCGACAAACCCGACATGCGGCTGAAGAAATAGAGCGGCCGAGGCCGGCCCGCCGCCTTACACGCGTAAATCATATCTGATGGAGGCAATAAACCGTTTTCTATGAGGTCAGCGTTTGTAAAGTGTCACTCGGAATCAGAAATGGGCAGCCGGCCGCTCAGAGCAGGGCTGATTTGGTGCTCGAACAAGGCGAGAAGGCCGCCGTCAGCATCGCACCGCATGTATGAGCCGGCTGAGGCCGCCATCAGCATCGCTCCGCTACGTACGAGCCGACTGGCAGCTGCTGATGGTCGTCCGTTCTCTGAACTGAATTGAACTGCGCCAATCGGACATTTTTTCACAAAATTCGTCTGCTTTCCTTTATCAAATGTGGACGCGCTTGTGCGTGATACCAATGAAAACTACAAGCAGTTGGTAGGCTGGAGATAGGCTGGACAATGACTTAAACTGGAGGTCAATTCTCATAAGAAACAATCACAAACATTCTTTGGAAACATGCCATCGTAGGAAGTAGCAGGACAGGAAATGTACCACCGGTCGGGAAAATGCTTAGGTGATTGCGGACCTGTTTCGATCTTTCCAAACAGCTATAGGTCCAGTTTGGACCACCAAGCAGACGGATGCTTGACAATGGGAAAGTTTGGTTTCGAACTTCGAGCCTCGGTCGAGCAAGCTAAGGGACAGTTCAAACCATGCTCAATTGCTCAGACAGGCTGCAGAGTGTGGACCGGTTCGGGTCCGACCACGCTCAGACAGTCGTTATGAAGGAGGACCAGCCGACACCGACGCTCCGAGGACCCGCGCGCCGCCGCCGCCGCCGCCGCCGCCGTCTCGGGCCGCGTCGGAGCCGTCGACGGACGGCCAGTCTGCGGTGGCCGTCGGAGCCGATCACGGTGATCCCCAGTGCTGACGACTGTCGGGAGCTGGCCTCTGACGGACGGCCGCTGACCGCTGGCCGCTGACCTCAGATCACTGACCGCTGACCATCGGCGACTGACCACTGACTGCTTACACAACTGATCGCTGACGGGCGACCGCTGACCGCTGACGAGTGACCGCTGACTGCCGGCTGCTGACCGCTTACTACTGCATGCTGCTGACCAATGACCATCGACCGCTCAAGGGCCACTGCTGCTTGCTGACAATAATCACTGACCGCTGACAGCTCGAACACCGTTCCAGATCGCTGGCGATAACCACCAACCCGTCCAATCGGTAAGAAACTCACGATGCTCGCCCATACATGGCGGCAATGTAGCAGGACATGTTAAACGATTAATGGTGCCGCTTTGAAGCCGTGTTTCACCGTAGGCAAGTGATCCAGATCAACCCTTCTGTCATCCGAAAAATAAGACCAAGCAATGTTTTGGTGTATAACATATTGTTGGTCTCTTCCAACTAACTTGCGGAGAACTAATATTTAGATACCAAGCAAACGTACTGCCCACAAGACAGGCTCTGCGCTGAGCATTACACCTGGACGACGGATGTCCTATTGTTGTTAGGCAAAACGGACGAACGAGTGATAATGGAGTGGCATGTGACAAGCGGGAACATAGCATTGTGGGAACATTGCAAAAGGATCCGGCATGACGATTTCCTTCCGGTAATTTTGTTGCAATAACAAACATCAACAAACATCGATCTGTATCAAAGAAATTTGTTGATCGAAATCGGCCCGCTTAAAGGCAAAAGTTCACGTCCACAAAGACTTCCAACCAAAAACTTGGAACAGACTTCCAAGTACTGGAGACAAAAACAATCGGAGTAGGCTGTGTTATGGCCTGCTAGTTTCCATTACACAAATCTTGAATTATGGTCCATCTTCCTTTCGCTTTTTACTATCGATGATATCAAACAAATAATGTTCTGAACACTTTTGGAGCTCCACAAAATCCATCATTGTTGAAAAAATGGATATACGTCGAAGTTTATAACTCCAATTCAGACACTGCGTTTGTTAGGAAAATGAGAATGTGATGAAGGAACAGGACAAGAAAAGTTGATAGATAGACATATCAACAGTTATAGTGTTGTATTTGTCCTCCTCCCCCCCAAAAAAAATCACTGAGCCGAGGTTGATAACAGACAACGCTGCATTGAAACCGCTAATGCCCGGTTAATAGGCAGTGGATCACGTTCGGCGTGGGATGCTCTGTCGGCCTTCGCTTCTCACTCGACTTCAGTCCATGCCCACCGCAGCCTCCTCGCCGCCGACCGCTGCGCTAAGTGGTGGTGAACGGTCATCTATCTTACCCCTAATTTCGTGCTTCCATTGTCGAGCGATAAAATATTATTTTACAGCGCGGCGTTAAATATTTGCCTTTGAGATTGAGCCGGCACGGATTGATCGGTCTGCAAGAGGCCGGCGGAGGTCGAGAGTTCAACAGCCGGGACTGACGCCACTAAACACAGCTCATGGCTCGTCGCGGGGAACGAAAACAACACACCGCTCCGTCACCGCCCATGTAACGGCCCAACAATGTTCGCTAGCTTTTCACACCACGTCGGAGTGATTTTTGATCATTGTTCACACTCAAGGACGGCGAAGGGGCGTAGCGACCTCGACCTCCAAACAGTACTGTTTTGTGATGCACGATATGATCAAATATTATGTGATGCACGATATGATCAAATATTATTACCTACAAGTTACATAGTTAGTTACAGCCTTCGCACAATCCAGCGTTCATGGTCCAGAGTCCACATTAGCATGGTGTGAGTGCCAAGTCTTCAGCGTGGCAAGACGTGACCGGACCGACTATTTTTTCATTTGTTTTTTGATCCTGCAAAAAAATTGTATTGTTTACGTTAAAAACAAAACATTGCAGTGATCGCTATCGGGCTCTCATGACACAAGCCCAGTATCATTGCGTCGACACCTGATGACTGACATAATTGCCCCTCGCGTTTATGGTCAGTGCCGCGTACTGGAGTCAGGTGAGTCGCATTGAGCCCCCAGTTCATCATCAGCAGTGTCGGACCATTGCGGCACTCATGTGAATTAACTGGGCAGAGGACCCGACGTCGGCTCTGGTCGCCTCAGACGTACTGCTGATAAATTACGAGCCGGCGACCCTGAGGGCGCGCCATGTGTCATACGGCGCCCGTCCTACCGACTCCGGCCGCCCGATAGTGAAATTATACGGCGCTCACCGAGCCATCTGCACCGGAGCGGCGCCATCCATCGGCCCTCCCGGCTGACTCCGAATGTTTCTGACGTTACCGCGTACCGGCTGTTTGGAAATCAGATCTGTCTGCAGTAATGCTAATGCTGCTGGTAAGATTAATGCGATCTATGGTAATCCATGATCCAACGCAATAACCTTAAAAAATACATAAACAATCTTAACGAACACAAACTACATAGTCAATGGAAAATCGTAAAAAATATCATAGTTGTAAAACACGTCTTGAGAAAAGTGCGAGTAAAATGCGGTTGTTCAAAGGGAAAACCAACCCAGATTGACACCAAAAGCATTGGATTGAACTTTTGGCGGATGACCTCTCAAAACCAACCCTCTCTTCCTGTAACGTGGCGGCTTTTTCATCGTTTTCGAAAGCCAGTCTCAGTGGCTGCAGCTTCACGGGACTCTAAAGAGGACAACATTGAAAGCGCCACGCTGCGCCTACGAGCAGTACCGCAAACACACGCCCCAGTTGACCCGAGGAAGGTCTACGGACACCCAGTCCAGACTCCCCGTCCCCACTGGGTCGCGACCGACTGGGTCGGGCCGCCCGGAAATTAGGCCACTTGTTGCTGAAAGTTGCGAGAGGAGTTAATAATCCGCCAGAGCTGATCAGCGGATCCACATTTGGGCGACTGCAGATTGCGGAGAGGCATGATAATAAGACCGAAATGAAGGTCTCAACAGTGCTGTGTACTCGTAAAGTGCTCGCCACTCGGTAAACCAACTGAACAAGCGGATGGATAAAAGGGGTTTTAGTTCCAAAGCAAAATTTGTGATCGGATGAGCTGCATTATTATTTAAAGGTAGTGTGCCACCTTTGAAAGATTTCCCATTTTATTTTTCCTAGGATAAGAAGCTTCTGTTTTTACCTAATATCGCAAAAAAAAATCAAAAATGGGCCTGGAATAGTGCCTTTTTCGCCTAAAAGTTTTTCGGTTTTTAGATATGTATAACAACTGTAGTGGGCTCACCTGCAAACAGGCGTCGGGCAACAATCGCGAATGCGGCGCACTTGTGACAATAAGCAAAGGTCATTATAGTGTTACGACCATACGACGTACGGGAATGAGTTATCAGCTGTCTAATCGTAGACAACACAATGTCGAGCCTTAAACTGTAAGCCCGTATTGGTATTGTTTCTTTTATTTGGCTGTCGAACATTATTTATGGTTTGAAATATGATTTTATGTAAAATAATTAATATGAAAAAGCCGTCTTATAAGTTATGACCCCATTTCACCACACGCAAGTGGCAGAAATGACAATGATCAGCTGACGCATTTTTCTTGGCCGAAGTCAGAGCGCGCGGCCCGACGCACCACGCGTATTTGGAAATTCCGACCTCGACGAGCATCAGAAGCCACCTAACAGGCGTGTTCGAAACCGCAGGAGATGATGATGAACGGGTTTATCGAAACTTGATTGGATGAGCATATCGGTAATAGCGATTTCAGTGTGTGCATTTATTGTTCATAGTGGTGTGAAATGTGGTTGGGGTACGACCGACAACCCGTCGGGGCGAATTTCGCACTGGGGTACTCAAAATTTGAAGAATTTAAGACGTTTCCATGAGTTTTGAAGGTATGGATAAGTTCTAAAAATCCGGTTCTCCTTATCTGGGCCATTAACTCCATACGGTCCAAGAAAGCTGGCACACTACCTTTAAGGAAACGCATCACCTGTCCTCAATGTAAGCTATAAAAAGGAACAACGTCACACTGATTGACGTTTGTGCACGGATAGTGACGATATACGCGCAATATCGAGACGAGTGTCTCTGCCAGACCATCCGGCACGTTTTTCACCACCCTCGATCGGTTCTCCCTGATCTCCAAACTGGCGAGGCTCAATCCCACAAATGACGCCGATCAATCACACGACTCTGCCGTTGGATCCCCCACTGACAATGTGCCAGTTCCAGGCCTCCAGCTATCGCGGTGCGCTGTTGGATTCCCTCTGACCAATTGCTCCCGTTCCAGGCCTCCCTGAAATGGCGTACTGTTGGACCCCCGGCTGCCCCTGCGCCTAGTGTCCGTTCAAGGTCCTTCTTACCATGGTGGGTTGTTTTATCCCCTCTAACCCTGTGTCCCCTGTTTTAGGTCCCGGTGCCATGGTGCGCCAGTGGACCCCCACTGACCCTGTGCGGCGCCCGTTCCAGGTCTCCCTGCAATGGTGCACTGTTTTACCCCGGCTGACCCAGTGCGCCCGTTCCAGGTCCCGGTGCCATGGTGCGCCGGTGGACCTCCACTGACCCTGCCTCCGTTCCAGGTCCCGGTGCCATGTTCCGCCGGTGGCGGCTGGCGCGCGGTGGCCGGCCGGCGGCCAGCCGCCTGCTGCGGCTCTCCCTGCTCGCGCCGCTCCTTCTGAACGGTGAGTAGCGCCGCGATTGGTGCTCTGTTGCCAGTAATTGGATGAAGGTCCGTCCGGCGGCGGTGCCAAGATCAACAGGCCGCGCGCCGCCGTCCGGGAGACAATGGTCGGCGGTGGACGGTCCATATACACTGTCCGCGGGAGGGGCAGGGGGAGAGGGGGAGGGGAGCAGACAATTTCCGGACTGATGAGCACGGGAACTCTGCACGCCAGGCCGACGGATTTACCACTGTCCGACCGGGCTGTTAAGATATCTGGCCCGGAAAGCCGCGTCGACAATGCTCCGGCGCAAATACGCATAACTTTTGATGCAAATTTATGCGGGACATTCACCGAGGCATGCGAGACGATAATAATGAGATATGAGGTCTGACATTTAGCCTGAAGAAACATTGCTCTGCAAGGTGATGATGACGGCTGTGGCTTGGTGTGTCCCTCATGATTTGCATTTGTAGAGAATTTGATTCACATGAGCGGCATTTGAAAATAAGATACTTTTTGTGCATTTTTAGAACGATTTTTGACCTACCAACATGTTAAGACTTACCTACACAATGTTAAAGGGACGCCATTTAATTGCGTCCCAGAAAAGCTATTTCTGGCACCTAAAAGCTGACTCGCCCCAAAATTGGTCCTCAGCACCTATTTGGTGGATACCAGCACCAATCATGGAAAATGACCTTAATTAGCTGTTTCTGGCACCTATTCATCGGTACGCCTTACTCTTTTTTCTGAATCTGGCACCTAAATGCTGAGCGTAGCACCAATCTAGTAGAAAAATGAACTACTGGCTGGTAGAATCATGTTGTTCTGGTATAATGACCCCTGGAGTCTAGCCTAAAGGTTGCCAGTGCAGCTACACTCTAAGACAGCCCCGTAGTGATCTCAGCATTGTATATGACGTTTAAGTAAGCAAATAATATTGATTTGTTTGAAAAAAACAATGTCATTTAAATATTTAAAAGTATTTATTTGTAATGCTTAAAGGGAAACATTTTTGTGAGTAACTGTCTCGATTTTGACCATTGAAACGGGTATTGTATTTTTTGACGTCATCAAATAGCTCCAAAAAAGAAATGTAATGTTTTCATTCCGTTCAAGGCCGCTGAAGAAACGCGGGATCTTGCGTGGGACATTGTCCGTTGTTAGCCGCGCAGAGTTGTGCCGTGGTTGTGCCTTTTTCATCCGTTTCTTACTTATGTCATATGTGTGCATGAAGCTTTGATTTTGTTTTTTGTTATTGTGTGGCCGGTCAGTCAAACGCCCCTGTAGTAACCGGATGCTGCGTTTGATCGAGATGGAGTCAGACGATGATTGCAGAAAGCTAATAATATTGAAAAGAGGGCCGGTTGCGTGGCATGTCTGTTCACAGTTGACATTTTGCTTTACTCAAGCTTATGACCTGAGAGCCTGGCTGGAAGTGACGGATCCAAACTTTTCACGTTAAAATGGCTGAGGGTGCAATAATCTCTAGTCTCTTCTCTACATAGCGGGCTGGTATAGGAGCGTCTTGCTATGCTGCACCATAGCTGGCTAGTGATTTTCTTTTGGCTAGAAATGGCATTAATCATTATCTCCACTGGCGAAAATGGCACTTGACATCACCGAATGCAACGTTCATGTTGTTAGGATACATAAAATCAGGAAGATTACGCGAATTAGGTAAGCAAACGTGGAATAAAATAGGTGCTGGATGTTTTGGTTTTGGTGCTGAATCAGCAAAAAGCAAATACGGAGTTCAACTAGACGATCTGGCAACTTTAGGCTGTGTGGAAGCATTTAGGTGCCAGATTCAGATATTAGGGTCGAATAAGCATTTTGGGGCTGATCAGCAATTAGGTGCCAGAAACAGCTTTTTAGGGACCAGAAACAAATATTCCCCATGTTAAAGATAGAAGATCGGAGACACTTCAGACCACAAACGACAGTATTTGCAACAACAATCCAAGAAAACAGACCTTTTTCTTCCACGACAGAAAAGCCAGAATGCGGGTCCGCTACACCCAACTTCGCAAAAATGAAAAGTACATAATCCAGCAAGACGTTCATTTATAGTACAATAATTTGTGTTAATTATTTGGGCTATTTGTATGAGTCATGGCCAAGTGTTATTTCAACGCGACATTCTAAAACTTTAAAATAGTTCCAGTTTTCTCCCTCCCTCATTCTTAGCTCAGATGAGCCAGTCCGCCCTATCCCCGGCCGGGGTCCACATTAGGTGTCGTGCCGTTTGCCGGTCACGTCTGTTTTCTGCCGGCTCGGGGCCCGCCCAGTTGTCCCCGCCGTCTCACTAGTGGGTGCGGTGGCTCGCTCCACCGCGCCGCGCCGCGCGCTGACACATTTAGCATGCAGCAATGAGCGGTGTGTGCCGCCGACCGTGAAATGGCTCTCTGTGAGCTGCGTGCCAATATGGACTGCCACCCGGCACAGGTGCACCAATAACTGACTGATCCCTGTCGCCGCGCTACCGCAAACGAGACGGAAATCATTGGTGGAAACTTGATCAACTTGATCGGAATGATGCGACTCCGTTAGGAGATACTCGGGTGTAGTGTCAATACCATTTGATTAGGTTTAGCGCTGAGGTAAGGGTAACAAACAAGCGTTGAATTACCATTCAGTGATGCTAGATAAGCGAAAATATCCCTTATTTATTTTAGGTGGTGTGTGCAAAATCATTGGATTTAGGATGGGAGTAATGTCATCCCATCGCGGTGAATGCGGATACCCGGCAGAAGGGCGATGTTTTATCGATAATAAAAATTACTAACAGAAAAGCTTTCAAGTGTTCTAACTCATCGAATTTCTTAATCACCATATAAAAATGCTTATATTCTAATCACCAAGCCCATGTTACTACTGACCGCGACTTTGTCACCGTTCATTTCTCCAGAGAATTGACGTTGCTGTGCCGCTGGGTTTTCGGCGCTCGGCAGTGACTGTGTGCGCGGTGCGTGTCCCGGTGCCGGGTGGGCGCTCCGCGGGTCAGCCGGCCGTGTCAGGCCGCCACTGGACATGACAGCCGAGGGTCCGGTCCGGCCCGGCCCGGCCCGATACGCGGGCACACCCGACCGGGCCGGACCGCACTGCCGCAGTGGCCATTAATCGATCGATGACCGTTTAGCGTATTAGCGCTGTCCTGTTGTCCCAATCACATCCTTCCGAAACGGGATATTTTTGCATTGTTTTAGTTTCTGTCCCGCGCTTGTTGCTTTATGAGAATTGGAAACAAGTGCTTTATAAAACTTTTTTTCAGAACCCTTTGCTTTCTTCAATTCGCCTACAATTGTTCATTAGAAAACCCAATGTCAAAGCTGATCAAATATAAATCACCATTAGGTTCTACTCCACCTTCCCATCCCTCCGATGAGCGTCACAACGTTCCAGTCATCTGCAGCAAATCAGGGGCATTAAAAGCGGCGCCTAGACGAAAACCGGCGGCTGGAGAAACTATGAGCGAGTATCGAATTACGCACTGCGTGAGAGACAGTCAGCTGACGTACTACTCAGAGACTGGCCGACTACTTCAGAGACCATCATCTGACGTCATCTGAGAGCCAGTCAGCTGACGCACTAACTTAGCAGAAATAACCAGCTGAGGTTGCTGTGTTGTAACGCGTGCACATCGAATCAGCTGCCGCCTGTCGGTGTTCGTTCAATGAGGCCGATAAAAAGGGAACTATAAAACTGGACGTCCGTGCCCGTTTCTTTGAAGTTTGAGTTGTAGGAATAGCGCTGTTTGCTGGCCGTCGTCACGCTGGGTAGGTATGAGATCTCCGATGGATAGGTAATCGATTAGAGCGACCACAAAGCTTTCAATCACATTAGCACGTACCAGTCTGCTAGCACGCACCTCTTGAGCCGACGTTACCACGAAACAGACATATTGACGCTCAGTGCACGTACCGCGGCGTCCGGGCTCTCAACCGGTGGTCCTGCCTCCATCGAACCGGTAAGGGCTGCTCGACGTCCGACAGGTCTGTTCAAAGGCAGCTGCCGACAGCGGTCAGCGGTGGCAGCTGTCCGCGAGCAGGAGCACTTCTGCTGACAGCTGAGGGGTGTCCGAGCGGCTGTCCGAGCCGGACGGACCCCAACACCGGGGGGGGGGGGGGGGCAGCCACTCCGGGCACTGGCTACCGGAGGTGGGACACTGGGGATTCCGAGACCCACTCGGAATAGAGGCCCGCTGTACTTCAACGTCTTTTATTCACGAGTTGAAAGCCAACAAATTGGTCATTAGGCTTATCAGAAGAAGGGATACAAATAACCTGAATCAGGGTCTCAAATTAAGAAGAGTCAACAATAAAATTAAAAAAAAACACGACTGAATGAAGGCGAGACAAAGTGATTGGATTGGGAACCCAAGAGGGGAGGATGAGAGAGAGAGAGAGAGAGAGAGAGAGAGAGAGAGAGAGAGAGAGAGAGAGAGAGAGAGAGAGAGAGAGAGAGAGAGAGAGAGAGAGAGAGAGAGAGAGAGAGAGAGAGAGAGAGAGAGAGACAGAGAGAGAGAGAGAGAGAGAGAGAGAGAGAGAGAGAGAGAGAGAGAGAGAGAGAGAGAGAGAGAGAGAGAGAGAGAGAGAGAGAGAGAGAGAGAGAGAGAGAGAGAGAGAGAGGCGGGAGCCGGGGACATCCATACCGTCCCCCGCCGTTTTCCAAACAGTGCCGGTGCCAGGGACGGTGCGGTTCGCGCGGTGTCTGTCCGCCGCCGTACTCAGCCCTCTGCGGACCGTCACCGTCACCGTCACCGACGGCGGAGGACGACAGACAGAGAGGAGACGCCGAAACCCGACGCGACCGCCCGGCGACGGGAAAACCGTCCAGTGCCGATCCCAGACGGGCGCACATTAGCCGACCCACCGGCTGAATGGGGCGCGCACTGCGCAGCAGAGGCCCATTACAACGGGGACAGTCAGGAGAGCTTTTGTTAGAATTAAAAATGTTTTTAGTCAGGTTTGCAGCGTGTGCGTGTAAACTGACTTTTTAAATAAGGTATTCCTATA